TTTGTTTGTAATAAAAGTTACCATTTTGTTAATTTTGAAAAAAATTTTTAACAAAAAAACTATTCTTAGTTTTAGTGAATTTTTCTTGATTAAATTTTATTTCTTGATCTAATATTATCTAACTGTTTTCATAGTCCAAAATTTTTATTCCTGAATCAAATTAATTTTTTTTTTCAGTGCCCGTCTTAATATCCGTCAGAACCTTAATAGTAAAAAACTATCATCTTCTTACAAATAACTTATTACTTATTGTTATTGCAAAGCTGTAAATATTATTCCGTGCAGCTAAAGTACATAGAACAATAAAATTTACTTATAAAACTTTGAATTGATCTTAAAAACTCTCCATCATAAAACTAATATTATTTTTATAAAATAATAATACAAAATTCCCCACGAAAACTATCACATTTTACCACAACATTCCTTTACTATCCATTTCTCCAGCCCTGAGTAAAACTAGGGTCCGAAGAAAAGTAAATAAAATAAAAGATCACCATCAGACAATCATTCCTCAAAGCTATCATTACAATAAAATCACCAAACCGCTATAACTTAAAAAAATAACAAATATTTATTTAACAGCGATAAAATTAGTCACTTACAGAATTACGCTTTATTGGTGTTTGGCCAACAAAATTAATTTTATCATTTATATATTTACGGCTGGCAGTTGTCGTTAATAATATAAATACGAAAGACCACCAGTTTTAGTTATAGTTATGTAGTTATAGTAATATTATGTATTGTGTATTGTATTGTACATAACCGAGTAAGAGGGAGAGGGTAAGCCGTGGAGTGTAGTGGTTGTGTATGTAGGGCTGGTGATACCACGTTCACATACGGGTAGATGATTTACGGGTTTTTTGATTTACACTGATTATGGAGTCGCGGTAAGCTCCAATCCACACTTTATTTAATGTAAATAAATAATAAAAGTAAAGTATGACCTTTACAATAAAATATACTTTTATCGTAAATACGCCTGTTATTTACATTTATTTTCCTGCACGGAGAGAATTAAATTACTAAATATACAATACGAAATTTTTAGAGTTAATCATCTAAGATAATAGTCAAATTTTCCAGTGTTGAAATAATTAATTTTATAATTTTTCAATTAGAATTAATCATTATTCAATAGATGTTTCTATAATAAAGTATCGTAATATTTTTAATTTTAATTATAGTAGCTATTATTCAAGGTAATGATTTTTTTTTATGAAATGTTTCTTAGCTTAGATGATAACTATTATAGTTTGTGATGGTAACTGTTACTATCTCTCAATTATTCGTATTAAAAATATCTTTTTTGAAATTATAAAATTTATAATAAAATTGACAATTGTAAATTTTAAATTTAATTAGTTAATTCTGATAAACAATATTAATATTATATAATAATGTTTATAAAATTGATGATGTTTATAAATATTTTCAAAAATAAAATTTCAAAGCTGTTATTAATATTAATAATTGTAAATTAAATGATTAGGGTTGGTAGATAAGTAATATTAATTCCTATAGAACTAAATTTAAAAAATAACTAGATCATTTTTACTATTTAATTCTCTCCTTCTATCCATTTATGGTTTAATATGGTCATATATGTCTTTATATAATTATTCAATCAAATTTAGTGTTTAAAATTTCCAACAGATGGCGCATGGTCGCTAAATCTTCTCCATTGAGGAGAGTTAATTTTTGAAGTATTAAGGTTTTAAATAAAAATTAATTCTTGACTTTTTTAAAGAGCTTATCAGACCTTAATTATTATTAAAAATTAATTAAATATTGAAACAATTTATTTAATACATGTTAATTGACGTAAAAATTTATGAAGGTCATTTTTAAATATTAATAAATAATTTTATATGACCATTTATGAAACTAGATGATTTTTACTATTTTATTCTCTCATTGTGTAAATCGATTTGTTTGAATATTTATAAAACTAATTAAAGGACGTTTCCAATCTCATTATTGGTTCGTTAATTATTCATTAGATACCTAAATTGAATTTAGTGTCAATGAGTAATCGAAATTTCAGTGGATGAATAATTAATTCAAGTTATAATGAGGAAGAAGTATAATTGAAAGGCGTTCAAAAGGTATTTTTGATTAAAAAAAAAAAAGGCAAATAAACAGCACATAAATAGTAGATTGGTTATTCAAATGCAACAGTTAATTAAATTAACAATTGGCTTATGCATTCTTGTTAATATTAATAGGATATTAATTAACACTCTTTACAATATGCAATAATGAATTGAGTGTGAGTGGTACTCACACCGTGTTTACAGGAGCGCTTGAAATTTCCACACGAGTGACAGCGCAATTGAATAAGTAGAGAAAGAGAGAGGAAAAAATTTAAAATAAAAAGTTCGGAATGAGGAAAGAAGAAATGAAAACTAAGATAAGAGATTTTTAAAATACGAGAGAGAGGGAATAACCCGGCCTGTACCCCTGAGGAAGGAAGGACCCACGGGCAACTTGCTCGGTGAAGTAATGCAATAATTACTCGAGCGGAAGTAATAAAATTAATCTCCACAAAGCTGGTTGCGCGTGCTCGCCTCTTCTTCCTCATCCCGCACGCGCGGTCCACCCTCTTATATACTTTGGCTTGAGATATATTTTCAGTCACTCCTCCCCCTCTCGCCCTCGACAAACCCGTCTCTCGAGAGGGGCTCTGGGTTTTGTGCATAAATCAAAGACGCAGTATTTAGCTTTTAATAATTTGGCACCAACTGAGAAGAAAAAGAAAACATCGAGAGTAATTATTTACAGGATAAAACTTAATCTTTTGTATTTGATCGAATCAACGTGAGTAATTGTTTACGGTGATAAATTTTTTTAAGGAATCATACGCACTTAGAATTAAAATAAAATTATATATTTAAGTGTACTCAAAAAGGAAAATGTAATATCAATTTAACGAGTATTTTCTACACGGAAAAAGCATATATTCTGGATTATATTCCGAAATATATTCTAGATATATTCTGAATATATTCCGGATATAGCCTGTTTTATCCAATGAAGATATTTCAAAAGTATATTTATACTTTTTACAAATATACATTGAAAAAAAAATTAACTTGAATCAAGAGAAAAATTCTTGAACCAAGTAAATAATTTTGAAGAGTTTCTTTGTCTTGAATCAAGATGAAAAATTCTGGAAATAAGAAAAATTTACTTAATGCAAGAAAAATTTCTTACACTGAGAAAAAAAAATTTTTGTCCAGAAAAAAATTTCTCGGCTCAAGAATCGTTTAAAATTAATTTTGGTTTTTTGACAAAAGAATATCAAGAGTAGTACTTGTTTTTTCTCAGTATAGTTTAAGAATTTTTCTACTCAAATCAAGAAGATGAAATTCTTTAAAATTATTTACTTGGTTCAAGTATAGTATATTACATACCTAGGCCAGTAAAATAAGAAAAGTCTCAGACCACATGTAATTGTTAGCCGAGGCGAAGCCGAGGTTGACAAATATGTGGTCTGAGGCTTTACTTTTTACTGGCCAAGGTGTGTATACTATTTTTCTGCTCGACGTAGCCGGAATGTGGCAACTTTGTTTAGCGCAGCGGACAGAAAGTTGCCACTTTCCGGCCGGAGGGCAGAAAAATTTTTTTTTCTGTGTACCTGAATATATTCAGTATATTATATATACGATAGACCAGTCTATAGACCAAAAATAAATTTTGAGTAAAACTAGATACAATTGAACGCATGCCTATATATTCCGGAATATATTCAGAACAAATACGAATATTTGTAAACCATCGGGGCATTTTTCATCAAAAAGGGGGTGAGATCAAAAACTTTAAACGCTTTTTCCTCATAATAGTCTTTTCAAAGTCGGTGAGCAAAATTTATCAAAAACGGCTGACAAAATCAGTCTCTAATTTTGAAACAATTTTCTGGACTATATTTTTTAGTAATTGATCCAAGAAATAATCATTCCGGTAACATATATGTTTTTGAATTTCGATGATTCAAACTGAAGATATCGTGCTCTCTGCAAGTAAGATATTTTAAAGGACCTTCCGGAGATCGTCTACAGAATCTAGAAAAATGATATTTGTAGAAAAAAAAAAAGAGCTTTTTACTCAAATTAAAATTTACTAATATGTGAACATAATTTTTCATATCAATCAATTGAAAAGCCTTTTGAAACTTAAGTGCGTATAACCCCATAAATAAAATTGTAATAACAATTAAAATAAAAAAAAATTTCAACCCTATTTATAGCTTGCAGCAACAACAATCTCAATGCCCCAAAAAAATTCATAAATAAGCAATATGATTTTATTTATAAACCCGTGACTTAATATAGTAAACGATATGGATGATGGATTCTTTGACACTCGACCCTTCTGAATAAATAACGTTTAATTACAATGACAATAGCGGTTATCGAGATATTGACAGAAAATCTGGTCCACATATACACGATAATCTTTTTCAAATGTTAACGACTCTCATCTTGGTGGGTCAAAGTCCACACATTTGACACCAGGAAACGCGCGTTGTGATTATTATTATAAATAATTGCATCATAAATTAACCTACATTGCAGAAAGTTGAATTTTAAAGACACGACGCTACTTAAATTCAACATTAATAAAGAAACTGTATGCATGGACACACTTATTATTAATTATTACGCACAAAAATGATTCCTGCCAATCATTATTTACTCAATAGTAATTTCTTTATGCATATAAATAACATTATAAACGATAAAAATTTAAAACTTTCCCATTGACAGCGACAATCTCTCGTCGTAGACATAATTATACACGGGACATAAATAAAATTGGACACGTCATTGACTAGCTTGCATACGTCCGTCTACTCGTGGTGTACTTGCATACTCACGCATGAAACACTCACATACTTACACACACATGAGTTTATTGAGACAAAGGACAGCATATATGTGTGTTATAAATGTGTGTTAATATTAATATTAACAAAACGCGGAATTAAAAGCTAGATGGTCATCCAGCGAAATCACAAACGAATGGCAAATAACGAGAGCCTGAGGCCGACAGTATGACGCATTCCGGGCAGTAATTCGTCAGTTCGGACTAGACTGATGATGATGCTTTGGATCTTTGCACGCCAGGCTGCTTCCAAAGCGTATTTCGATTAAACTGCGTACATAACATACAGCTTAGCTTAAATTTTGTCCTAAGGGCTCGTGTGTCCGGCTCGAGGGACAGGATACGGATTATGCAGCCTTTTACAATATATATAAAAGAAAAAAACTCTCCATCAAATCTCCGGATGGTGAATTCTGTCAGACTTAACACGCAAGATTACTCGAGCACACGCGCTACTCTTTTTCTACAATACTATCACTAAAATTATTTAGCCATTGGTCGTAATAGAGGTCTTTAAACTTGAAAAACGTTACTCACGTGTATAATAACCAAATTTTGCTACCCGGGTTGACCCAGCTCCACGCAGCGCTGAAAGCCAAAGCCGACGCCTGGAAGGACATTATTAAAATCGGCAGAACTCACACCCAGGACGCGGTCCCGTTGACTTTGGGCCAGGAGTTCTCGGCTTACGCGACTCAAGTTGAGTACGGGATCGCCCGAGTCAAGGACACTTTGCCGAGACTGTATCAACTGGCTCTGGGAGGTACTGCCGTAGGTACTGGGCTGAATACCAGGAAAGGATTCGCTGAGAAGACAGCCGCTAGAATAGCTTCGCTTACTGGCTATCCGTTTGTCACAGCGCCGAACAAATTTGAGGCTCTTGCTGCTCATGACGCTATCGTGGAAGTTCACGGTGCTTTGAATACTGTTGCAGTCTCTATCATGAAGGTAAACTACAGAGTTATAATCTATATTATTAAGAGAATAAGCTAAATTTTAAATGGTCAATTTATGATGATAAGTATTTAGGCTGCATTCGAAAATGCTTTATCTCTAGATACATAATTAAGAAATTACCTTGTATCTCGTGAACTGTTGACATTTTTAAAGATATAAGCTCATCCTGATGTTACACTCATCGAGATCTTTCGTTTGAGTACCCACATCAATTTTTCACATATTTCATATATTTATATATATTGTATATATGTAGATATGAAAAATATATAAAAAATGCATGCGGGTACTCAAATGAAAGCTCTTGATGAGTGTAAGCTCATCAGGATGAGCTTATATCTTTAAAAACGTCAAAAGTTAAGAAAGTACAGTGCAATTTAACAAATATCTCGTGAACTATTAACATTTTTAAAGATATAAGCTCATCCCGATGTTACATTCATCGAGACCTTTCATTTGAGTACCCACATCAATTTTTCATATATTTTACATATTTATATATATATATATATATAACATATATGTATATATGAAAAATATATCAAAAATGCATGTGGGTACTCAAATGAAAGCTCTTGATGAGTGTAACATCGGGATGAGCTTATATCTATAAAAACGTCAAAAATTAAGAATGTATAGTGCAATTTGACAAAAGTCATTATTTAATAAAGCAAAATTTTATTTATTTATAGTTGACAAATCCAAATTAATTCTATAATTTTATAATTAATTTTTTTTTATAGATTGCCAATGACATCAGATTCCTAGGAAGTGGACCCCGCTGTGGACTCGGCGAGCTGTCGCTCCCAGAAAACGAACCAGGAAGCTCCATTATGCCTGGTAAAGTCAACCCGACTCAGTGTGAGGCTATTACAATGGTCTGTGCTCAAGTAATGGGCAACCACGTCGCTACAACAATCGGTGGTAGCAATGGCCACTTTGAACTTAATGTTTTCAAACCTGTTATGGTTGCCAATACTCTCAGATCTGCTAGACTTCTTGGAGACTCTGCTGCGGCGTTTACTAAAAACTGCGTCGTTGGTATCGAGCCGAATATCGATAATATCAAAAAAATCATGAACGAAAGTTTGATGCTAGTCACTGCTCTTAATCCACATATTGGATACGACAAGGTTAGTACAAGTTTTTTTTTATTTATATTATAATCATTGTAATTAGCAATCAGTAGTTAAGTTATTGCACAATCATCAAAGAATTATTTATTTAAATAATTAAATCTATCCATAAATTTACATACAAGATATAATTAATTTTATTTACTTGCAGGTGTTTTTTATTTCAATGTTAATTTATTGCTGAAAATTTTTTATTTTTTTATGAAAAAAAAAAAAAAAAAAAATATGAACATCTTCTATAATTAATTTTTATTTCATAAAATTAATTTTTAATTAAAAACATCTGAAATCATTAAAAGACAAAATCAAGTCAAGATTTCTTACACTAGTGCTTAGTTTAACAACCTAAAAGACTATAAAATAATAATCATAATTTATTATTAAGTAAGTGATGATTAAATAATTAAAAAAAATTATCTTCCAGGCCGCTGCAATTGCTAAACAAGCGCACAAGCAAAAATTAACTCTAAAAGAATCAGCACTAAAGAACGGTCTTACTGAAGAACAATTCAACCAATGGGTTCGACCGGAACAAATGTTGGGACCTAAGTAAATTAAACTAACTGCCGTACATATTATGTAATTACTAATTATAATTAGAAAGAATGTTTGCGTATGATTTTTATTATAAAAATTGCATTTTCACAAAGTCATACTCACTTAACTCACTTAACTCACTTGTTATTAATTATGCGTGGTATAAATTGAAAAAATGGTGATATAGATAAAAATAAAAAAAAAACTATTTAAAATATAAAATCCCAATATATTTATTTTTAAATGTAATTTCTACCACTGGTAGGTATATTAAGTTCATAAGGTCATCGCGTTTCACGCACTTATCTACGATGTGTCAGAATAATCTACTTTTCTTGTTTTACATAGCTATTAGTTTCCAAAAATGTTTGTTAGAACCAAGAACTGTTCAAGACTTCTCCAAGAGTGCAAATGTATTTTAAAACAAACAATTACTGTAAGAAATTACAGAAAAGTCGGGATCATTGGAGTACCTTTTGACAAAGGCCAGGTGAGAAACAAATTTAATTTAATAATTACCTATTTCATTGTAATTAATTATTATATTTAATTGTTTTTAGAAAAAGCAAGGCGTTGAGCTTGGTCCAGATGCTATCAGAAAGGCTGGGCTTATCCAAGGATTGGAGAACATTGGTAATTAATTTTATATGATACTGAATTTAACAGACATCTAAAAAATTTTTAGGACTTTTACAATTAAATTATAATAATAAAAAAATTTTTTTTAATTTTATTTTATGTAATTTAATTATTTAAAATAATTTTATTGACAGGATTGGACGTAAAAGATTACGGAGATGTAAAATATGAAATAAAATCGAAAGAAGGTATCGATAATATGGACCATTTAAATGAAGTAGCTGCTTGCACGTACAAAGTGTCCGAGATATTTGAGAAGGTGCTAAAAGACGGAAGAACTCCAGTGACACTCGGTGGAGATCATAGCTTAACTGTAGGGACTGTCGACGCACATGTCAAATCCAAGGGTAGTAACAATGTTGTCTTACTTTGGGTAGACGCTCACGCAGACTTAAATACCAACAAGACGAGTAGCAGTGGTAATGCTCATGGAATGCCTGTGGCGTTAATCGCTTCCGAGTTGTCTGATTACTGGCCTCATTTACCTGGGATGGATTGGCAGAAACCAATGTTGGTTGTTTGTATTGATTTTTACGCCTAATTTATTAAGGGGGTATTCTGGTTTAGAAGCATGAAATTTCACCATTTCTGTATTCAGAATAGCCCCTTAAAAAAAATGAATAATATAAAATTAAATTATTTCAGGTTGTCAATAAGGAACATAGCATACATTGGACTGCGCTCAGTCGACATGTACGAAAGATTAGTGATTGAAAAATTTGGAATCACCGCATTTGGAATTGACGATGTGGAAAGACTCGGAATTCACCAGGTCATTAATATGGCCTTGGAAAAATTAGATCCACATTCTGAAAAGTCGATTCATGTGACTTTTGATATTGATGCTTTGGATCCACTCGAAGCTCCTAGCACTGGAACTTCTGGTATACCTAATTTGAATTAAATATATCATTTTTTAATTTTTTTTTAACAAACAAACAAATCTATTACGAAAAATTATTTATAAAAAATTGAATTTCTTATTTTTTAAAAATTTCTACATGTCATTAATATCAAATGAATGTAAATATTTTAGTACGGGGAGGACTGACAATCAGAGAAGGCATTCATTTACTGGAACAAGTGTACCGTACCGGCAGACTAAACGCCATCGAGCTCGTAGAAGTGAACCCCCTATTGAGCGACACTAAAGGTGTAGAATTGACCGCTGGAGCAGCTGTTCTTCTTCTTCAAGCTGCTCTCGGGAACAACCGTCGCGGTCTCAGAGTTCCTGAAGGAATCACAGACATGCCGCTGCAAACTTTTAAATAGTTGATCACGTTTTATTGTCATTTTTAACCCATACAATTTTACGTGGCTTCGTCAGCACTTCTAATAAAACTTTTTTTACTACATATTTACTACTATTATTATTATTATTATTATTATCATCATCATCATTATTGTTGTTATCATTGATATTAGTGATCCAGTAGGTCAAATTTCCATGAAATTTGGAACCTTGGACCGGTACAGTGTAGTACTTTAGAGTTTTGTACTCTCCAAAGTATTTTTTGTCTCCAACATTCATAGATCCTACTTGTTGAATCGGTTCTCCCAGCAGTTGCTTGGATTCCTCATGCGCGTAAAGATACTCCATAGCTTTGTGGTAGTGCGGTGAATGGACAACTGTTGTTTTTATCAAAGAACGAAATCCATAGCCAGTTAGTCCAACAAAAGCTGCTCCGCCGACCACCGATGCTGCCCATACTCCAAGTGATGGCATTCTTAATTTGATTCCTTTAAAAAAATAATATCAAAATTAATTAAGCATATATTTAATAATTTTAAAAATTTTATAGCAAATAAATTATGGCAAAAAAAAAAAATTAGAAAAAAAATTGACATGTAGAAATTTTAAAAAATTAAAAATGCAATTTTTTAAAAATCATTTTTTGGAACAAATTTTTTTGATAAATAAAATTAAAAAATTGTTATGTGACTGCTAACTTTAATTTCATTGACAAAATTATTAAAAAAAAAAAATTAAAATAACAATTTTACGTCTCGAAAATTTTAAAAATTACAAAGGCAATTTTTAAAATAAATTCTTTTAGTTATAATTAATGAAAAAAATTATGACATTGAAGTTAGCAGTCACTTAACAATTTTTTAATTTTATTTATCAAAAAATGATTTTAAAAAAATTCCATTTTTTAGTTTTTAAAATTTCTACATCTCAATTTTTTTTTTTTTGTCATAATTTATTTGCTATAAAATTTTTAAAATTATTAAATAAATGCTAAATTAATTTTCATAAAAAAATTAAAAAAATTGTCAAACACCAGCTGATTTAAATATAATAAAAATTTAAGTTATTTTAGCTACCAAAGTTACCTGTGTTAAATTTTATATCTCCAGATTATTCATACAAAAATCAACTCCAGAAGATGACTAGACTAGAGTCAACTCATGATCACTTTGTTATTGATAATAATACTCATTATCATGATCATCAAGATCGCACATGTCTCTAATCCTAAGCAGAGTCCACATGAGGTTTTAGGTTTTAGACTAAAAAATAAATTCGAATACTCTCCACGTAGCGCTAGCATACTGATCCTTGATCTAGAAGCGCGTTGATTGGTCACTCACACGGGGTTCCTGGGATTGGAGCTGACTGTGGCCATCGTGGTCATCACCATCATCTTTTAATTATCCTTCTCGTTACAGTAACTGTTATCCGTTACAATAGCTGTGTTTTATTTTATTATTTTTCACTTATTCTAATTCTTATTTAAAGTTACACTGACACAGGTTCAACATTAAAGTGCGTAATGACAATAATGATGACGATGGCGAAGTGCTGAGCAAAAATACACACGAGCTCTCTCATGTTCTCCTACATCAAGTCTATATCGTGTCAGTAGAATAATATTTTGGTTTTGGTTGTGATTTTCCAGTTTGATTTTTAAAAAATGGTTTGTAATTATTTATTTCTTCTCTACTTGACATATTATTTTTTATTCTAATAATATCTCTAGATACTTGTAATTATTAGTCAGTATTTATTGGAACTTACCAGCCTGGAAACTATTCAATTATAAAATTTAACCTCAATTTTTTTGCACTTCGTTATTCCCTTCTTAATTACAGAGTTTTTATCTAATGATAAGAACCAATATGTGTAAAATAAATGAAAATTAAGATAATAGTAAAGTTAGCTGACGTTTTGAATTTTTTTTAATAATTAAATTAGAACAAAAAAATATTTTTTAAAAATTGCACTTACAGTTTTTAAAATTTTTTACAAATAAAATTTTTTTTTGTATTAATTTTTTCAATAAAAAAAAAAATTCTAAAAATTTTCAGATGTCGGCTAACTTAATTTTTATTTAATTAAAAATTAAAACTAGAAAACTATTTTTAAAAAATTCCACGTATAATTTTCAAAATTTTCTACATGTAAAAATTTTTGTTTTAATTTATTAAAAATTATTAGATTTTTATCATTAATACTAACACATATTTTTTGTTCCAGCATAAATTAAAATTCTCGCAGAAAGATAAAGTGAAAAAGTTTATTACTTTCACTCAAACCGGCGAGCAGACAGCTATTTATTGTCTCGCTCAAAATGATTGGAAGTTAGATTTGGCTAGTGATAACTATTTTCAAAATCCCGATGCGTATTACAAGGAACCTAAAAATTCGGTAGATAAGAAAAAACTTGAAATTTTGTACTCACGGTATCAAGGTAAATTTTTTAAATGAATCTTTTTACTTTTTTAAAACATGAACTAAATAAAATTGAATTTTGTCTATTTAGATCCCAATGAAACGAATAAAATAACAGAAGATGGTATAATGAAATTCTTAGATGACTTAGGATTGAGTCCAGAAAGTAAATTGGTCTTGATAATTGCATGGAAATTCCGTGCAGAAGCTCAATGTGAATTTACGAAAGACGAATTTATGAATGGAATGGTAGAGTTGTGGTAATTATTTAAAAAATTTTTATTTATTTTTTGAACTACTATGAATTACAATCGATATATTAATTAATTTTTTTTTTTTATATTTTAGTGTTGACAGTATAGATAAGCTTAAAGCAAAACTACACAGTTTAGAGAATGAAATAAAAGACACGGTTAAATTCAAAGACTTTTATCATTTTACTTTCAATTATGCTAAGAATCCTGGACAGAAAGGACTCGATCTTGAAATGGCTATCGCATATTGGAATATTGTTATGAAAGACAAATTTAAATTTTTAGATTTGTGGTGCCAATTTTTACAGGTATTGTGAATTAAAAATTTTATTATTATTATTATTATTAATAACAACCTTTTAGTCATTATGTGACTGCCGTAACTTGAGAACTATAAAAAAATTAAATTTTACTTTATTAAATAATGAATTTGTTAAATTGCACTGTACTTTCTTAACTAATGATATTTATAAAGATATAAGCTCATTCCGATGTTACACTCATCAAGAGCTTTCATTTGGGTACCCCTGCATGCATTTTCATATATTTTTCATATATACATATATAATATATATATGAAAAATTGATGTGGGTACTCAAATGAAAGGTCTCGATGAGTGTAATGTCGAGGTGAGCTTATATCTTTAAAAATGTGAATAGTTGACAAGACAGAAATTTCATTTCTTAATTATTGACATTTTTTAAGATTTAAAATCATTTCGATGTTACATTTATCGAGACCTTTCATTTGAGTACCCACATGCATTTTTGATATATTTTTCATATATACATATATATAATATATATAAATATACAAAAAATATGAAAAATTGATGTGGGTACTCAAATGAAAGGTCTCGATGAGTGTAACATCGGGATGAGCTTATATCTTTAAAAATGTTAGTAGTTCACAAGATACAAGGTCATTTTTTAATTATGTATCTTAAGGCACAAATTCAAATCAAGACTTTTGTAATGACACTAAATTTCACTAAAAAAAAAAACTGATTTTATCATATGACTATTCTGGAGACAAAATTTTTCTTATTCTCTTAATAATATAGATTATTATTATTAAAAAGGGTTTTTTCGAGTATTAATTAATTTTACATCTTACAGGAACATCATAAAAGATCGATTCCAAAAGACACGTGGAATCTTTTGCTAGATTTTGCTTCAATGATAAACTCAGATATGAGTAATTACGATGAAGAAGGTGCTTGGCCGGTGCTGATTGACGACTTTGTGGAATGGGCACAACCTCGGGTTCGTCAGTCTCACTAATACATCTTCATTCTAGCTCTAATACCTTTTTACCACTGAAGATGTATCATTTATTTAATTCTTCTTGAAATTCAAAAAATTATTTATTCAATGTTATTGTAAACCAGTTTGGGAGAACAAGAAGAAAATTGACAAGCAATATCTTAATCTTATCTCAAGAGTTTATGAAAAAATACACTGAAAAAAAGAAAAATACGTGATAATCCAGTTGGCACTAGCTAAGTTCATTTTTTAACACGAGGAAAATAAATTACGGTTGCACTTACGGTGATGAGTAATGAGATTTTAAATAGACAATTTAATATATTTAGTTGCCAAAACATTTAATATTACAGTGCTCAACTATTTAAATATTTCTAAGCATTTAATTCTGCTGATAATTATTTAACTTTCTCTTCTTCGTCCGGTACATACTTATTTAAAATTTTAACTCTTTACAATTTTAAGTGTGTAAATAGAAGTATTAGTAATTATTTTGTTGAAACGTATTTAATTATGATTATTTATCTATTAAATATTGAAATAATTTTTAAATATATTTAATAATACACTTGTAAAAATACATAAACAGGATATTATTTAATACTAAATATAATTTATCGGTTTATATGCTTAAATTTTTTTTTTCTATATACAATTTATAATTAATTTTTTTTTTTCTACATATTTTTGTTCCTCAGCTTTATTTTTATATTTTCAAGCTAGATTGTTTTTTTTTTTAAACTTTTGAGTTAATAAAATAAACTTTAACGTAATTAACAATAATGCTAGATATAATGTGTATTATATAAATATAAGAAAGAAGACAACTAAACAGAAAGCGATAAAATAAAAAATTAATCTTATATATTCTTAAAAAAAAAAAAATGATTAAGTATGTATAAATAAAGTTGGAAGCTTAAATTTAAAAACTAGTCTTAGGAAAAATCAGCTAAAATTTTGAGCTACTAGATTTCATTGTTCTCTTTGGAAAAAATTGATAAAATGGTTTGACGAAAAATAAAATTTATAATTATAATTGTTGGCAGGCTACAACAGATATTTTTCGGAAGTCTTTTTGTTAGAAATTTTCTAAAAACAACGTTATTGCAACAAAAAAAAAAATATAATTATTTATTCAATAAAATAAACATTGAAACAATTAAGAGTTAAAGCGTTTGAGAGTGTGATCTTGTAAATAATGTAAATATTATTATCATATATTAGTATACAGTATAAAGTAGTTTTAAAACTTTGCTGTTTCAAAAAGAATAAAAAAAATAAATAAATTCATTTTTTTGTTACTTATTATTAGTGACCAAAGTATATTTTTTTTTTTAATTTTAACCACTACAGATGCTGATGACAGTAGTAAAGAAATGCAAGCTCATATTGACTGGGTTGTAAGTTGAAACAATTATATAAAACTTCGTTTATGAACCAATTACAAAGGTTCTGTAATTTTTCTATTTTAGCCTAAGAATAAATTCATTTATTTATCAATAATAAAAATATTAGTTTTTTTATAAGTTACAGTAATTTAAAATTTGTAGCCTGGGTAATTTATCAATACCCTGAGGCTCAAATTTAATTTACTGTGTAAAACTAATTAAAAAAAAAATACTTGTGCGATGACTAAACCTCGACAAAAATTTTTCCAACGTACGTGTCCATGCGAATCAAAAAGCGTTATTTTGTTAATTGATTCTTGGAATAAAAATAAAACAGTACGTCCACAAGTTATGAGCAACATTACCAAGTTTTCTGATTTAGGTTTTTGGTACCAGTGCTGAAGAAAATCTTGGATATTTTTGTACATCGTTTTTATATCTTCTTTAAAAATTTTGAACTTCTACAAAATAATAAATAATTAAATCATAATAGTAATTAACTTTTAAATCTTACTATTAATATGATACTAAAATCAGCAGATATCAGACAATTTTTTTAATTTTTATAACAAATATATTTGCTATAATTTTTTTGTTACAAAAATTCTTAAAATTATCAAGTATATTATACTAAATAAATTTTTACCCATTCTTTTAAAGTCGCCAAGCGCTTTCCACCAAATTTCAGAGCTTCATCAACACTTAGGTACCTGTGGGCAACCAAAGCTCGATTAATTATCCAAGCGTGAGTTTTATTACCCTCAATAATGGACTCAGCGACTGAAATCATTAGTCGAGGGCACTTTTCTGCACTCCAGAGCTGCAATCTTGCATGACATATTCTTTGCGCTACGAGAAGACATATCAGTGTACAAGCTTCGCTACCTAAAAAATAAACCAATTAATTTTATTTTATCAATTACTTAATTTTTTCTCATTAAATTAATTTTACTCAATTGTCCAGGCGGATAACGACTCTGCGAAAATTTGGGACAGTACCAATACACCTGAATGTCTTTAACTTGACAATCTTTTACAAAAGATGGAAATTTTGAATTGAAAAGGGGTGGAAGTGTCATTTTAATTTACTAAAATTTCTTCATTGTTATATTGTTAAAATGTTTACAAATTTTTTAATGATACTGAAGTTAGCTGACAAGTGTAAATTTTTTTAATTTTTATAACAAATCAATTACAATAAAAAATTTTTTTTTAATTAATAATACTAAAGTTAGCCGACGTTTTTTATTTTTGGATTTATTTTCATTAATTAAATTAGAACAAAAAAATATTTTTTAAAAATTGCACTTAATAGTTTTTAAAATTTTTTACAAGTGAAAATTTTTTTTTTATTTTTTTGTAATAACTTTTTCAAGAAAAAAAAATTCTAAAACATTTTAGATGTCGGCTAATTTAATTTTCATAATAACTTAATTGCTATAAAATTAAAAAAAAAAAATCTTTGTCTGTCAACTTCAGTCATAATTTTTCACACTTTAATTTTCTAAAAATATAATGTAAGATATTAATTTTTTATTTGAATTTTTACCGGATGTCAAACTCGAAAAATTAAGAAGAAATAATTATTCCACTATTATGTAACTATTTGTACTTAATAATTTATTTTTTATTTTATAAAAATAACCGAGCGATTAGTGGTTCAAAATTTAGGTGACATTTGTAAAAATATAAAATTGTTTTGATCTATTATAGGGAAAGAGACAGAAGACAGAAGAGCGAGAAAGAAAAGCAAAATGGCAGCAGTTAAATTTGGCTCCCACTTGAAAGAATTAAGATTTTTGTTATGTCAAACATCTAAATCCAGTCAAGGTGTCAGGTAAATAATTTAACGAGAATTATAAATTATTTAATTATTATTTTTCATTTAGTTCCAATTGTTTTGTCGCTAAATGAAAAAAAAAATTTTTTTAGGTTATGTTTTCAATGTTTTTATACTTGTAATTTTTTTTTTTTTAATTTAATTATTGACAATATTTATTAAATGATTTTAGGGAGTTTATAGAAAAAGAGTACGTGCCCTTGAAATTGAGTAATCCAAAATTTCCAGTTCTAATTAGAGAATGTTCAGCAATAGAACCTCGATTGTATGCACGATATGGTAAATAATATTTTCTGTCTATTTTTGCAAGTTTGAGATTAATTTACTTTTAATGATTTTATTTTAAAGAAAAAAATTAATGAAAATTAAATTAGCCGACATCTGCAAATTTTTAGAATTTTTTTTTTTCTTAACTTTAGTATTATAAAAAATTATGAGGCTAAAAAAAGACATTTGTCAATTTAAAAAAATTTTATAACAAATTATTAGATAATAATAATAATAATAATTTAATTTAATAAAAAATTCCACATTTAAAAATTGTCAAAAAATATTTTTTTTTTTTTTTCAAGATTAATTTGTTATAAAAATTTCAAAAATTTTTAAATGTTAATATATTGATATGTACATCATTCAATTTATTAGACACAATAGTTTACATCTTTAATTGACAAAGATAAAATATTTTAAGTGTATTTTCTATTTATTCATTTCACCTATAATTTAATTTTACAATTTATATAATTATCTCTCATTTATTTATAACATAATTTACATGTTGATAAAAATTTTTTTAATTTTTTTTTAAACCTTTAAATTATTACATAATTTTCAATTATACAATTCACTTTGTCTAATTCGTTCCATTTTTTTTGGTTATTAATCCTGAGTCTATTATTTAAAAATAAAAATTGAAAAATCTAAAATAAAAGAATACATCATTAAATATTTTTGATTAATTTTCAGAATTCGGCAAAGAAGCTTCTATATCTCTAGGAAATTTAAAACCAGAAGAAATTCTTCAGAAGCTAAAACAACTAGCCACTGCAAAACCTTAAAAAATACTATAAATGTTAAATCAAGTGTACATTATAAATAGGTATTTTAGTTATTACATTATTAATTAAAATTATTAAAAATAATAAACTAGCTTCAATTAAATAATTAATAGTATGCATTGATTTATTATTATAATACACATTAAATTGTTCAACGTAGATAATACTATTTATCAAAATAATATTTCTTTTATTTATTTATTAGACTTTTATAGAACTTTAGTTTTCATTTTTTATCTTGCGGATTATTTGACACGCACAATTAGTAAATAACGTGCATATATTGACTAACGCGAAGGAATCAATAAATAATATATTTGCATTTGGATCTGCCTTGTAATTATTCTTGAGGGAACGGTGGCAATCCAAATAGTTCTGGTTTGAATTCTTCCAGGCTATTAAGCACCATAGTCGCTTTTTTAGTAAGTTCTTTTGGTAAATTTGAATCTGGTACCATGACAACTTGCATACCAGCACCCACCGCCGCTTCTACTCCATTCGGTGCGTCTTCAAAGACAAGACACTGAAATAATAATCTTTATTATTAAGAAAATAACCAATAGTCAATTTATGATGATAATTATTTAGGCTGCATTCGAAAATGTTTTATCTCTAGATACATAATTAAGAAATGACCTTGTATCTTGTGAATTATTGACATTTTTAAAGATATAAGCTCATTCCGATTTTACACTCATTAAGACCTTTCATTTGAGTACCCACATCAATTTTTCATATATTTTATATATTTATATATTTCACAAATACCATATATATAAAATATATAAAAATTGCCATGTGGGTACTTAAATGAAAGGTCTCGATGAGTGTAACATCGGGATGAGCTTATATATCTTTAAAAGTGTCAATAATTAAGAAATGACCTTGTATCTTGTGAGCTATTGACATTTTTACAGATATAAGCTCATCCCGATGTTACGCTCATTAAGACCTTTCATTTGAGTGCCCACATGCATTTTTCACATATTTTTCATATATTACATATATATATATATATATATATATATATATATATAATATATGTAAATATATGGAAAATTGATGTGGGTACTCAAATGAAAGGTCTCAATGAGTGTAATGTCGGGGTGAGCTTATATCTTTTAAAATGTCAATAGTTCACAATATATTCGTTAAATTGCACTGTACTTTCTTAACTTTTGACGTTTTTAAAGATATAAGCTCATCCTGATGTTACACTTATCGAGACCTTTCATTTGAGTACCCATATCAATTTTTTATATATTTGTATATATTATATATATGTATATATGAAAAATATATCAAAAATGCATGTGGGTACTCAAATGAAAACTATTGATGAGTATAACATCAGGATGAGCTTATATCTTTAAAAACGTCAATAGTTAAAAAAGTACAGTGCAATTTAACAAAAGTCATTATTTAAAAAAGCAAAATTTTATTTATTTACAGTTCACAAGTCACAGAAGTCACATAGTGACTGCAAGGTTGCTAGTTATTTCTTTATTATATGAACTTTGTTAGATATCAAGTCGATTGCTTTAAGTCGCCCTAAGCTATTTTTCAACTGAAGATAAAGCTAATAAATAATTATTAAAGATGATAACATTGTAAAAATATCAGTATTAAATATAAGATCTATATCTAATCTATAAATGAAAGCTACGAGGTTAGAGCAAGCAACCTTGAATATTTTTTCATTTAAATCAATACCTGAGACGGCTGAACGGGATTTGAGTCAGAGAATCGACTCGCGGCAACTAAAAATATATCTGGCGCGGGTTTTCCGTGTTTAACATCCGGATCCGAGCCTCCTAGCACACGGTGATGGAAAAGTTCAAAAAAGGGTTTTAGCTTTCTAGTCTTTAGCTCGTAGCTTTTCTCACTGGAACTAGTTGCCAGGGCAATCGGAATGTTGTGCTTAACTAAATGTCTTAACAGTCGCTCAGCTCCTTGATAAAGAAAAAAAAAAAAAAATAAAATATATTAAAAATAATTTCAAATTTTGAGTCATTAAAAAAAAAAAAAACGATAATGTAAAAACAAGTAATTAAAAAAATAAACCAACTAATCATCCATAGCGTGCAAATACACACGTTGATGTGAATGACAAATGATAACACTTATGACGTGAAGACAGCAGATTCAAAAAGTGGTACATGACATTTTGAATTCGATAAATTTGTTGCTCTCATTACATTAATTAATAAATAATTGATTTATGGTCTTGGTTAAAGTAAATATGTGATCGATAAAACCATTCAAGCATTAAATATCAAATAAAATATGAATGAAAGAAATCAAAATTAGCCAACTAGGACATTAATATCATATCAAGGATGAATCAGCTAACAGCTGTAAAATATATATTATGTAATTAGATGAATCAACAACCTGGCGTTAGTGAAGGTATATAAAAATAAATATGAATAAATATCAACAACAATTACAATCGATAATACTAAAGTAAGCCGACGTTTTTAATTTTTTAATTATTTTTTATTTACTAAATTAGAATTAAAAAATTGCACTTATAGTTTTTCAAGTTTTTTACAATTGGAATTTTTTTTTTTTTATTTTTTTGTAATGATTTTTTCAATAAAAAAAAAAATTATAAAAATTTTTAATTTTTTTGTAATGATTTTTTCAATAAAAAAAATTATAAAAATTTTTAAATGTCGGCTAACTTAATTTTCATTTACAATCGATGTAAAGTGAAAAAAAAAAAAATTAATAAAACACCTGGCATAACTCTAACTTCAACGAATAATTCCTCCTGCAATTGGTGATACATAAGTTGAACCTCTTCGAAACTCAAGGGTAGTTTGAAATAATCGATAATAAGATTTATTCCTACTGCCTCAGGACGTCCTAGAACTTGGAATACCACTTCACCTTCGTAATTGTGCCCGAATTTCGATATTATTTTATTGTATATTGTCTTGTACACGCTTTCAGAATCTGCATGAAAAAAAGGTAAAATTAGATTTTTAAATATAAATTCATACCTGGCATCAGCTGGCTGTCAGGAAACAGTATGTCGTAGTAAGGTGTAACTTGGTCCATCAATTCCTCGGGTGTTATTGGGAGTTCCAGGAACTCGACTACTCTTTTAGCAGCTTCATTGAAGTGGAATCCCATTATTGAAGCTTTTAACTCCCATGAGAAATTTTTACCGTATTTATTCAATACTTTGTTGTACGCTTCCGTGTAACGATACTCTGTATCTATTTTTTTATTGAAATTATAATTTTATTTAATAATACTAAAGTTAGCCGACGATTTTAATTTTTTTTTTAATAATTAAATTAGAACAAAAAAATATTTTTTTAAAATTGCACTTACAGTTTTTAAATTTTTTTACAAGTGAAAAATGTTTTTTTTATTTTTTTGTAATTATTTTTTCAATAAAAAAAAAAAATTCTAAAAATTTTTAAATGTCGGCTAACTTAATTTTCAATAATAATAAAGTTAATTTATTAAATTACAATTAAAAAATATTTTTAAAAAATTGCACTGATTGCAAAAATTGGCTAACTTTATTTTCATTAATTTTTATTTTCATTTAATTAATTTAAACAGTAGACAATAACAGTTTGGTTAGCAATTGTTAGTTAGGTTTTAAACGTCACTTATATGTCAAGTTCAAAGTCATTACCAGCAAACATGTAATCAACTGATCAAAAAATAAATTATTATCAATTAATTCACATTTATATATTACAATTATTGGTTATATAATTATTATTTTACTAAAAAAAAAATATGATAATAAATTTAGCAGATATTAAAAAATTAAAAATTTTTTTTTTTAACAAATAAATTATGGCAAAAAAAAAAATTTGCATGTAAAAATTTTAAAAAATTAAAAATGCAATTTTTTTTGAAAATAATTTTTAACTGTTAAAAAAAAATTGAAAAATTCTTTAGTAACTGCTAACTTTAATGTCATAAAAAAAATTATTAATTATAGAAAAAATTTATTTTAAGAAAAATATTAGTAAAAAATTTTCCTACCAATTAGCAGTCCATCCATGTCAAACAAACAATGAGTTACATTTTTGTAATTGGCCATTTTTTTTTAAATCGCTGTGCTGGTTCTCTGAGGTTTTATTTTATTTAAAAAAAATTTTATTTAAAATTTCTGGGTGAATTTAAATGAATTTAAATAATTGGCAGCATGAACACATAACACCCGGGATAGTGAAAAAAGACTTCAGTGTGTCGTCAGCTGACAATGAGACTACCTAGGCTAACCTCCCTCCACTTGGCACTTGGTTTCCACCACGTCGACTGTTACCTCCACCCCCACCTTTGGGTTCTTCCCATTCATCTCTTTTATTTATTTGTTGTCTTTTTCTGCGCCGCGAGGGTGCGCACGCTCGAAAAGAGAGAGAACAAATATATAACTTTATACGTCATGAGGGGCGAAATTATTTTATCCCAATAAGTGCAAGTAAATTAATAGTATATATATATATATATATATGTGTGTGTATAGTTTATAAAGTATAAGTGCAGTAAGACTAATTTAATTTATCTGGTAATATGTGACTAATGTGTCAGTACTAAAGATACGATGGAATAAATTTAATTTGATTTTATTTTCATGTGATCTAACATATTTATAAACATTAATAATTTGTTTATATTTTTTGGAGTTTGTCTGGGTTAAATATGTCTAATCTGGTAAGTTAAGATAATAAATATTACAATAATATTTGTTGTACCCATCAGTTTTGACATTTAGATTATTTGCATGCTTTTTGTTGATGGCGAGTTTTTAATCTTTTCATGATATAGCAAATAGTTATTAATAATTTTTTACTTTTTTATGATTAATCATAATTAAATAAATAATACGTGTTGAGATTAAATTTTATTTACTGTTTACACAATTCTGTTGTTATTTTTTAGGATGACGATGATCAGTATCAGGGAGGTTATGACGTCGGGTCATTCCCTCAAGATTTTGGCTACACACCGTTTGTTGACGGTGATGAGACCACGGAAGATTCCGCTACTAATTTATTGTTAGCTGGCGAACAAAAACCTCGGATATTATTGATGGGTCTTAGGAGGTACAATAATAATATGTAAATGATTATGACATTAAAGTTAGCAGTCACTTGACAATTTTTTAATTTTATTTAACGAAAAAATTGTTGTTCCAAAAATCAAAATGAAAATAAAATCACCCGACATCTAAAAATTTTTATAATTTTTTTTTATTAAAATAATTATCACAGAAAAATAAAAATAAATTTTCAATTATAATAAAATTTAAAAACTATAAGTCCAATTTTAAAAAAATATTTTAAAAAAATATTTTTTTATTCTAATTTAATAAATTAAGCATAATAAAAAAATCAAAAATGTCGGCTAATTTTAATATTATGTTCCAAAAAATTATTTTTAAAAAATTGCATTTTTTATTTTTCAAAATTTCTACATGTCAATTTTTTTTTACCATAATTTAAGTGTTATAAAATTTTTACACTTATTAAATATATGCTAAATTATTTTTCATTAAATGGTTCTGAAATTTAGAAACATTTGATAATTTTTTACAATTTTATAAATTATTAAAAAATTCTACATATAAAAATATTAAAATTTATTCGTTAAATAAAATCTAAATATGGTTAAATTTCTGGTAGATTAGTGTCATCAGTAATAATTACAGATAATATATATATATATATATAGACCTAAAAAATACTAATACTCAAATCAGCAGACATCTGATAATTTTTTTAATTTTTATAACAAATAAATTATAGAAAAATTTTTTTTTTTATTTTTTAATATGGAATTTTCTTATTAAATTTTTTTCACAATAATTTAATTGTAATAAAAATTCACAAATGTCTATTAATTTCCGTAATTATTTTTATTTAAAAATTTTAGGAGTGGAAAATCGTCAATTCAAAAAGTTGTCTTTCACAAAATGTCACCAAACGAGACACTATTTCTCGAGAGTACAAACAAAATAATAAAAGACGACATAAGCAACTCTAGCTTTGTACAATTTCAAATATGGGATTTTCCAGGTCAAATAGACTTTTTTGACCCGACTTTCGACAGCGATATGATTTTCGGGGGCTGTGGAGCTCTCGTATTCGTAATCGATGCCCAAGATGATTACATGGAAGCGTTAAATAAACTTCATTTGACTGTGACGAAAGCTTACAAAGTCAATCAGGCTATAAAATTTGAAGTTTTTATTCACAAGGTCGATGGGCTGTCGGACGACTACAAAATGGAAACACAAAGAGACATTCATACTCGAGCTAACGATGATTTATTAGACTCTAATTACGATCAAATTCATTTGAGCTTTCATTTGACCTCCATTTACGATCACAGTATTTTTGAAGCCTTCAGTAAAGTTGTGCAGAAGCTTATTCCTCAACTACCAACACTCGAGAATCTTTTAAATATTTTAATATCGGTAATTATTAATTTTTATTCATTTCATAAACTAATTATTAATTACTAATAATTATTACAGAACTCAGGAATAGAAAAGGCTTTTTTGTTCGACGTCGTTTCAAAAATTTACATCGCTACAGACAGTTCTCCAGTAGACATGCAAAGTTATGAACTCTGTTGTGATATGATAGATGTTGTTATTGATGTGTCTTGTATATACGGGTAAACAAAAATAATTTAATCTCATTGAACTTATAAACAAGAAAGAATTTATTTAAGGAATTGGTAATTTTTTTTTTAAGTCTTAGGGAAGATTTAGACGCAGCGGCCTTCGACAATCAAAGCTCAAGTTTGATAAAACTTAACAATGGAACAATACTCTATTTACGTGAAGTCAATAAATTCCTTGCACTAGTTTGCATTCTCCGAGAGGACAATTTTGACAGACAAGGAGTGATAGATTACAACTTTCTGTGCTTTAGAAAAGCTATTCAACAAGTGTTTGAATTACGCAATAAAACGTCAAATACTAATGACCACTCACCATCCTCGCCATCATCAGTACCACCAGCACCACCACTACCTCCTGTAGAATCTCCCTCGCTGTCACCTACTAGTAATAATGAACCCGTGGTCGGGAATACCACCACGACACCACCAATCAGTGCTTTATCGCTGGCATCTAACACAAATGCTGGAGCAGCTTCCATCAATCAGCCTGCGGTGGGAAATCTTAACCAGAACGGATCTATTGCCATCGCACAAAATTAGTTTATTCTTTTTGTTATGTTGTACTTTTATTTTATTTTTTGATGTTTTTTCTTGTAATAATTTTGCTATTTGATAGCTCAAAAGAATTTATAGTTTTGTATATGAAGTATATGGAAAGAACAAGATGACACTGGATATCATCCCAGATTATACTGAGTGAAAAAAAATTTCAGATAGTAGTTAGTTTAATCTAGATTAAAGTTATAATTCAGATTACAATGAGTATAATCCAGATATCACGCAGTATAATCTAGATTTTTTTTAGTTACTGTCTGAAATTTTCTTTCACCACAGATATTGATATTATATCACTGAGTATAATCTGAGATGATATCCAGCGTTATCTTGTTCTTTCCGTGTACACTGAGAGAAAAAATTTATTTTTTAAAAAATTAGCAATTTTGTAATAAGAAATTAATTTTAATTATTTTTATTAAAAAAAAAAAAATTATAGATTTAAGAAAAAAAAATTTTGGATAAAAATTCACAAGTTGTATATCTAGAGCTTTTTTTTCCAAATCAAAAAAACTTTTTTTTTTAACAAGAAAGTTACTGTGAAGAAAATTTTTATTTCTTCCGCTAAGAAATAAAGTTTAAAATTTTAAACAAATTAATTTCTGGTCTCAGCAATGTCTATTATTTTAAAAAAAAAATTTTTTTTTCTCGATATAGTTGGAACTAAAAGAGTTCAAGAGATAAAAATTTTTTTTTCTGTTTTAACTAAAAAATTTTATCCTCTTGAACTCTTTTAGTTCTACCTCCATTGTATGTTGATAATTTTTGCCTGCTGTAATTACGCATTTTTTAAATAACTATAATATGAAAATAAATAAATATGTATATATATTTATAATTATTTAAGATTTATTCCAAGACAAAATTAAATAATTATTTTATTAACAGATATAATTTAAATTACTCACTTTGAGGATAAATACAATTCAAAAAATTTTAGTGGATGGAAAACCAGAGGGTGGATAACTTTGATGAGCAACTTCCGCCAGTAAGCTTTTAATTAACGGCTGAATATCAACGCACGAAGTTTGGTTCACAGTGTTGCTGCTAATACTAGTGATAATACCGCTCTTGTCTATAAATTAAATGAAGGATTTTTTTTTTAAGAAAGGATTGGATAGGACGTAGCGGATAAGGCTAAGGATTTTTCTTATAATTTACAACATCTGTACAAATAAATTTCTATACAAATTCAATTAAATGATAAGTTAAGTCGATCGATAATGATGTACAAACTTAAGAATAATATGTACTAATTAATGATTAATGATGTAAAAAGTCGTAAGTCGGTGGTATTAATTGCTGTATTGTGGTATACTGCAATTAAAAGCAGTTGTTAAGCTGGCCACTGTAAAAAAAATTGACATTTGTATGAATATGAGTATCGTTTTAAAATTATATTCCTAAAAATAAATTACCTTAAACATATATAAATTAAAAAAATTTTATCAAATTAAAAATCATTGATAAATACTCACAGTAATCGGCTTCTTTGTGCTGTACCGCGTTGTGGAGCGCCAATGCTAAATAAGTATGGAACTTTATGTATTTTTTCTCCATCACATCCAACTCTTGAGGCATCAAATGCTTAACACCTCGCTTCCAACGGTCACGTATGTGAGCACACATTTCCAGCAACTTAATAATTAGTATTTATAATTATTAATGTGAAGAAAAAATTATAATTATTAATTAAACTTACATTATTTATTGTCGTCATGATATCAGCAAATTGTGGAGTTTGTAAACAATGCTCATGAGCTTTATCAAGATAATCATTGTGGATCTGAATGATAGTATCAAGATCTTTGGCTTGTGCCAACGAGTTCTCCAAAATGAGGCCTAAACTTTGAAGAACTTGACCTGATAGATAAGTGTGAATAGATCCAATCGCGTGGAGCAGCCAAAACCGTAAGCATTCTAATCTTCTGGCATTGAAATGGAAGAAGAAATCTTTCATGTCTTCAGAACTTCCCTCAAGATCTACAAAAATAAAATAATTTAAATAATTCATCGACTTGATATTTAAAAAATAGTAAAAATAATAACCTGTAAATAACAAATTATTCAGAGTCCATAAAGCCCATTTTAATTTCAATTGAAACCTAAAAATTTCATTGTACTTGACTAATACCGGCTCAGCTAGAACCATATTTATCGGCCAATCAACAGAATAATCAAGTGTTGTATTTTCGATGGCTTGAATAACTTGTCGCGTGGTGTTACCTCCATCTGAGGGTACTATTGTAATTGACCAACGATTTTGCGAACTTGAGTCTCTCCATTCATCCGACAGAACTTGTTCCAAAATATTTGTTAAGTCCCCGTAAGGATTTATGCGATACGTCGCCAAGTTACCGGTCTCAATCTGTGGAAAAATAATAAAAATAATTAAGTAAATCAATGATTCTGAATAATAATACTGAAATCAGCAGATTTTTGACAATTTTTTTTAACGAATTAATTTTGATAAAAAAAAAAAAAATTTTTTTTTTAACTCACACAAATTTTTTCACACATTATTTATTAATAATAATAATTTAATTGTTAAAAAAATTTAAATACTTTGATTTCAGTATCATTTTTAAATAGTATAAAAATAAAAATTACTTCTTGGAACATAAGTTGATAAAACTTCCTCATAACATGGCCTCGCTCCATCATATAAATAGACCGCATTAATTTTAAATGCCTCTCAAGCTTATACTCATCGATAAGAATATTTTTCACCAATTTAGAAGCACACGAGTAACGACGATCCAGTATAGTGTCCAAGGTTGTTTCTAAAGCTTTGCGAAATGGGAGGATAAATTCCGACATGCCTTCTAATTTATCAAATATATTTATCACTCCCCACTGTGTTCGTACTTCCCTCCTATCTTCCAAATTTTTTTCTCTAAAATCAACAGTATCCACACTACTAGTCGCTGGAAAATTTACAAAACTCAGTGTGGGTGTCGTCAGAGAGGGCAGATAATTTTGGAAGACTTTCATGAGAAATGGATTATTTATTTGCCGAATTTGCTGTCGAATATTTTCTTCAAGGTTTATTAAGCACGCCGCGTCCAATCCATTGTCCAAATTATCCGTATCTGTTTCTTTTACCAATACTTTTGACAAATCACTGGCATTTGTACTCCTATCAATTTCATAATCTACATTAGCAGCATCCAGTTGATCACTGTGATCAATCTCACTGGAATCATTTCCGTACTTACTCAACTCCATAATAACATAAGAAATAAATTCTTCACTCAACGGGATTCTTGTTGAGTCATAAATCTCAGCATTCATTTTCCACATGTCTGAAATTCTATTTAACGTAACAAGCAGATCAATATTTCTTCCCATTTCTTCTATTTTTCTCAACAATTTTTTAGTAATCGGATCAATTACCAACCCGTCTTTTTCTATCGGCCTTATAGCGAACGATGCCATTTTAATTCTATCTCCGTCTTCAGAACTGGTGCTCTCAAAATTGTTACTAAAATTTTTTTTAAACACCAAAAATTCATCACGAAAATCCTCCAGTCTTCCTTCAGTCAACCATGTGTCTATAATATTTAAATAAATTTTCAAACTCGACAAATAAAGACTAGCACAAAGATTAGTACGACTACGACTAGATGAATTTTCAACTTGACGATATAAATTCAAAAGTAACCGGTAGCTTTTCTCCCAATTTGTTTGACTCTTTAGCAGCTCATCAGTCAATACCGACCGATGAATATCACTGAGCATACTTAATTGTCCAACAATAGGTTCCAAATCTTTAGACAAAGTCAGGAATGTCGTAGGATTAAATTTACGCTGCATTGATTTTTTTTCCACATCAATAATATCTTCCTTTAATCTATTAAAATATTGCATTACAGATGTGCTGTAATTTTCATAAGTAATCGGAAATAAAGATTTAATATTGCTTGTATTGATATCAGTATTCTCGAGCAAACAATTAAGCTTCTTTACCATAGAAAAATATTCAACAAAGCTACCAAACGCGCTTTGAAAGGCTTTAGGAGTTAAACTCGGTATGGAAATATTTTTATTCACGCTAAATTCGTCCAGTGTTTTTTCGTAGACTACTCCAATGTTGTCATAGTCACCCGAAGAAGTGACTGCTTGGTGGGTAAGCATCCAGAGTACTTCTCGGCAAGCTTGGTACTCTGAAATTAAGGAAGTTCCTGATTTGCCAGCTTCACTTGTTGACTGCCGAAAGCTTTCGTAAATTTCACAGAAATGCGCCTGGGGAAACACACTGAGTACTTGGACATTCTGGTAATTTTTTTCACTCCACCAGGTGTTTTCGACATTGAGCTCCAGCCACTTCTGAGATTCGACGATCCTTGTAAATTTTTCTAGAGACCTTGACTTCGCTTGGGACTTAAGAGACAATTCAGCTGGACAATTAGAGCTGGACTTTTTTTTTAAAGTACTTTGAGATGAACCCGCTGTTAGAGTTTGCTTGGAAGAATTTTTTACATTTGACTCTGCGTCTTCTTCCGACCACACTGATAATTCATCCTAAAAAGTAAAATAATCGAAACTAGTAATCTTCCTGCCGTGACTTGTGAATTATAAATAAACCAAATTTTAACTTTTGTTAAATTGTACTGTACTTTCTTAAATATTAACGATTTTAAAGATATAAGCTCATCCCGATGTTACACTCATCAAGAGCTTTCATTTGAGTACCCACATGCATTTTCATATATTTTTCATATATACATATATATATATATATAAATATATGAAAAATTGATGTGGGTACTCAAATGAAAGCTCTCGATGAGTGTAATATCAGGATGAGCTTATATCTTTAAAAATGTCAATAGTTCACAAGATACAAGGTTATTTCTTAATAATGTAATGTATATTTCAAAGGAATAAGCTAATCCCGATGTCACACTCATCAAGAGCTTTCATTTGAGTACCCACATGCATTTTGATATATTTTTCATATATACATATATATAATATATATAAATATACAAAATATATGAAAAATTGATGTGGGTACTCAAATGAATGGTCTCGCTGAGATTATATTTCTAAGAAATTAAATTTATCTTTTTTTTTTTTTAATTAAAATAGTGAAAATTTATACACTATCTTGAGCGTGTTTGAAGTCACTAAAGAATTCTTGTTGGCCTTCCTTGAGATACTCCTCCCAGTTTATTTCATCTGTTCTGCTGTCATTCAGGTCGACTGTTCTACTGTCAAAGTTTTCATCGCTCTCATCATCGCTGCCGAGATCCAGTGCATCGATACTGTCATCGCCAGTGGAAATAATCGACTTGCTTGTCTCATTGGACAGCTCAATCAGTAAAGACAACAATGTCCACTGTAGATCATGCTGCGGATGCTGATCGAAGTTGAATGCTGATGAAGTCAGCAGAGAGTCTACTAAACTCGTAAATCTTTCAGCAACTTTGTAATTACCGTGAACGATAAATTTTTCTTTTAGATCATTCACTGATCTTCTGACAATATGACTGTTTATTGGTAAGTAATTGTGGTTTTTAATATTTGACAGCACGAATTTTTCACATAATTTAAAGTGACGTGCTGTTTGCCCTTTTTCCTAAAAAAAAAAAAATTATAACAGATAAAATCAATTAATGATCCTGAAGTAAGTTGACAACTGTCAATTTTTTTTAATTTCTACAACAAATCAATTACAAAAAAAAATTGTTCCAAAAATTTTCAATTACAATTAATCTAATTGTTAAATGACACTTAAGTCAGCTGTGACTTGATATTTTTTTTTTAATAAATAAATTTACTCCAAAAAATGATTTTTAAAAAATTGCATTTATAATTTTTTTAAATTTCTACATGTTAATTTTTTGTTTTATTTTTTTTTTTACAGTATCTGTTAAAAAATTTCTAAAAATTATTAATCATCTGCTAAATTGATTCTCATAATTGTTAAATAAAATTAAAAATTGATCAAGTGACAGTTAAGTTTAATGTCATAATTGTTTCATCAAAATTTTCATAACAATTTCATTGAAATAAAATTATAAAAAAATTTCTGTCTGTCAACTTTAGTGTCATAAATAAATTCACATGAACACAACCTCCAAAGATAAACATAAATTTTTAAACTCACCTCAAAACCAGTCAAGGAATTAATAAGTAATTTCAGATCTTTATAAATATCATTTGTAATATATGTCCCCATGATAACATGTTATATTTAATTATTTCCATAAAATTTTCAACAAATTATATACTATTTAATTATTTTCTTCATAATAAAAAAAACAGTAAATATTTTTTTCTTTCATTTTTAGCTTTTCACTTTTTAAATGATTGGAACACCGTCAGCGGCAAAAATTGAAATGTTCAAATGGCGGTTAAATTTCAATCTAAATTCACGAGATAAAACAAAAAAAGTGACGTGACTCTAGACCTTTTTATGAATCGCAAACTACGCAAGAGAAAGTTCGCTTAGTTATTCTGTTCTCGTGATTGGTGATGGTGAATCATTTGCTAAATTCATAGTGATCAGTGTAAGATTGTCATTGATTATCAATTATTATTATTAATACTGACCTAATACTAGATTTATTTTCTTCTGTGCATGTTTAATTTTAAATTAATATAAGACCAATTTACTTTAATACAATTTTAATTAAAAAATTTTTTTTAGTCTGCGTTCTGATCAAGACGCAATAAATTACTGTCAATTATTAGAATAAATACTTGGTGTATTTAGACAGTTGCTATTATTGAGAATTGATAAATTCGAGTGAGCAACAAACAATGGGGTTGCCAACGACAAAAAAGAACCGAGAAAATTTAAGCAACGAGTTAAGGGAGGCTGCTTCCTCCTCGTCTTCAGACGATACCAAAAATTACCTCGACAAAATTTTTGGAGATATTTCAAAAACTTCGGCTACTAAGCAGATTGTTATTGGTACTACATCGGGATGGTAAGTTGATTTTATTTATTACTTATTGTCTTCTAATAATATGTACATATACATTCATATAAAATATTACAATGTAGGCTAAATATAATGATGACTGCTCTGAAATTGCGTATTGATTTTTTTTTTTTTAATATTTTTGTGTGATATATATATATATATGTAAATTTTGTATTTTTAACTTTTTTAAATTTATATAATGCAATGATGATAAATACAATATAATAGGATGACGGGTTTCCTGGCAATGAAAGTTGGTAAAATCGCAGCATTCTCTGTTGGCGGAGGTATCATTATTCTTCAGATAGCTGTTCACCAAGGATATATTAAAGTTAATTGGGATAAAATTCAGAAGAAGGCAGAAAAAGTATCTGATACTCTTGAGGAAAAAATAACAGGCGAAGGACCCAAATTTTTAGACAAGGTACTTTTACTTTTTTATTTTTATTTATTACACTTATCAGAAACAATGAAAATTAAGTTAGCCGGCATTTAGAATTTTTTTTTATTGAAGAAATGATTACAAAAAAAAATAAAAAAAATTTTCACTTGTAAAAAACTTTAAAAACTGTAAGTGCAATTTTTAAAAAGAATATTTTTTTGTTCTAATTTAATTATCAAAAAATTTCAATCGTCGGCTAACTTAAGTATTATTCAGAAACATCTGATAATTTAAAAAATTTTTTAAAAATTCAATTTTTAGAAGTTATAAAATTTTCTAGACTTAGTTATTTAAAAAAAAAATATTGTCAAGTATTTGCTAATTTCAGTGTCATTTTTATGACTTTAAAGTTACCAGTTACTTGACTATTTTTTAATATTGATTATCATACAAATTTGTTCTGAAAATTTACATTTTTTTATTTTTAAAAATTTTTACACGTCAATTACTTTTGTTTGTTATAAAAATTCTTAAAATTATCAAATATCGCCTAAATTAATTTTTATATCATTTTTATTTTTATAATTACTCTAATTTTTTTTATCAGATGAACTAGAATGTTTAAAAATAAATTATCAAAAAATACTGATTATATTTACAGGTAGGCCAATGGTGTCGTCAAAATACGTATGTAACAACAAGTTTCATTGGTGGTTTTTTAATTGGCTTAGCGATGTAATCAAACGCGTAAAGTGAAGTCTTCAAAAAAAAAAAAAAATTTAGTTAGAAAAGATAAATAATTATTAAACTTGCCATTACATTCATTAATTTGCATTTCGAGACTCATATTAATATTAATAATAATAAAATTATTTTTCATTGTTTTTCTCTTGAATGTTACGTTAATTCAATAAAAAAATATCCAACTGTATTCCAGTAACATAAATTATATACTTACATATTTAATATCTAAATAAAAAAAAAAAATGCTATTGTATGAAGTTGAACTAAAGATAAAATAAAAATTTTTATAGAATTTTTAACAAACAAAATTAAATAGGATTGAATAATATTTTTATGGGAGTGTGTATTACAGGTAGAAAGATTTGTGGATAAGAAATTGGATAAAGCTGAAGACTATTTAAAATCAAAGAAGGCTCAGGGCCATCGCTGGTATGAAAAATTCCTCGGGACCGACAACGCCAATGGAGTGTTCAAGCCCAAAGAGATGCATTTCTTTGTCGTTTCTTTCGTTGCCGGTGTCCTAATTGGAAGCGCAACCGCTAGTTATTAAACTATTAACAAACACTAATTAACAATAACCCGAGTTATGAAAGAATGAAAGGAGAGACGATAAATAAAACATTTAAAGTAACCCAACTAATCCGCGCACACATCACACTTATTACACGTGTGATTTCTCCGACCCATTAAAACTGTAATAATTGCATAAACACTCACACATACAATCCAAATGTTGTTAACTGTTTTTTTTTTATTAGTATTTACAATAGTGTGATCATTTAGAAAATTATTTTTTTTATTTATTTGTATTTAGTGTACAATACTCTAATTATTTATTTATTACATACCTAAGTTGTATTATTGAATGTACGTGTGTGTGTGTGTGTGTGTGTGTGTGTGTATGTGTTTCGAAGAAAACTTATTAAGTTATAAGTACACACTTGGTGTATCATGATGGAATAAATAAAAAAAACCGAAAGTAATAATACCATTAATTTTTTTTTTTCATGTCACTTAGAAGTGTTTTAAACATTGCATCACTATTAACCGTAATTTTTTTCGTAAGCTCTGATTTCCGTTGCAAAATATGTGAGTTGAATTTTCAGATATGTGAACCAGTGTGTCTTCATCTTGCTGTAATTAAAAATAATTATTAAAATATAATTCTACTAAATAGAAAAAATAACGAAAATTAAGTTAGCCGACATCTAAAAATTTTAAGAATTTTTTTTCATTGAAAAAATTATTACAAAAAAAATTTTTTTTTAATTTCATTTGTAAAAAAAACTGTAAGTGCAATTTTTAAAAAATATTTTTCTAGTTCTAATTTAATTAATAAAAAGTCAAAAATTATTGAACGTCGGCTAATTTTAGTATTAAAAATTTAATAATACTTACTAAGTGTATACTCGTAGAAGTTGGAGTATTATTTGTAACTTTAAACCCATGGATACCCTCTTGATGAAATTTATGTAACAATTCTTGAATATCAATATTACCATACTCGTGTCTCAGATCTTTTTCTTTAAAATTCTCTCCGTCTTTACTGTCTTTAGTGTCAACTGACGACGAAGCGTCTTGGATTTTTCTTTTACCTCTTCCAATTAATTGCTGCTGGGGCTCAATACTTTTTATCGTATACACATTATCCTTTATCTCGAGTTCTCCTGTGATCGAGGCCAAGCTCAATCCAGGTCGAATTTGACTCGGAATAATACTGCTAGCTAATTTAGGTTCAATAAAAATCCGACTCTTGCTTCTTTTCAGGGGCAGTTTAGTCACTTCGCCTCTTCTGAAAGTAATAAGTGGTTTTTCCTGTAAAAAAAAAAAAATATCTTTTACCACTAGAATATATATTTTATAAATATTAAAAAAAAAAATTAATAATTCAAAACTTAGAACAATATTTTGTAATAAATGTCTGTTGAGTACAACGTTTGTGTTTTAAATGAAACTTGGCTTAATTCAAATATTTTTTTCCCAGAGATTTTCGATATTAAATTATATTATTCGACTAAATAACGTATCATTAACAATTAAAATTTTTTTGGCTAAGTTTTCAAATCTAAATAGACGTTTTAAAAAAAAAAAAAAACATAAATTTTTCAGTTTTTTTTTCTTTTTCTCAAAATGCAAGTGCATTAAAATATTATTGTTTATATACCTTTTCTTTTATATGTAATATAATCTTGTAAAAGGACGTTAAAGTTATTCTCTAGTGACCCTGTTATTGGCTATTGCTGTTGAGTCTTTATGTAAAGAAATAAATAGATAAATAAATAAATAAATAAATAATTACTGGAGCTACTGGTTCGATGATAAGATCAAGCCGATGAGGTGCAGTGTAAGGAGGCTGAGTGTAGCACTCAGGTATCACAAGATTATCTGGCTTCAAATCCCGAATAAGTTTGTTGGCTTGCGTGAAATTGAGCGAAGTATCAATTGGACAGTGCACAGCTTTCATCGCAAGCGGCTGATACGGAGCAAGAGCTTCTAAATACGGAAAGTCTGGCTCTGTGAAGATAATCGTGTGCTGAGGATTGTTGCCCCAGAGCTGAACAAAATGAACCGCGTCGCCGAAACGCAAGCTGGGATGTCCACAAAAGACCACACAAGGTTGTCGGTACTCTGTGCTGAATCCTCCCTGCCAAATCGAGGTGAAGTGCTTCAACCTTGCATTCTTCACCAAGAATCCGTGAGGAAACGGTTCTTCAGGCAAATAAACCTTGTTCTGCTTATTCGTCGACAGCCATTCAGCAAGAATATTTGAATATGCTAATGAAGACTCAGCGACCGGCGATACGAAGAACAGCGGAATCTGCGTCAACCCTATTTTGTCCAAGTGTGTGCTCAGGCACTCGAACAAGTCATAAACTACTCCTGAAGGGTAGCAAGGTATCAGAACACATCCGCTACTTCGGAGAGTCATTGCTACCGCCATGCACAATTCACCGAGCATCGTGTCAGGATTAGCAGTTGGAGTCTGAGTTAGTCCCGTTAAAATCAGAACGTCAGAATGTTTTAGAGTTGTTTGCTCCATCGGTCTTGGGTGAGTTGTCAACGTTGATGATCCGCTTACGTAAGCTACTTTCTCGTGCTCGCAAGAAATTAGCCAATTGCTGCTGCCTAAACAGTAGCCGGAACTTATTGGGGTAACTGTTAGAGCTCCGTATATGTCCTGGAAAAAAAAAAAAAAAAAAAAAAAAAAAAAAAAAAAAAATAAAAAAATAAAATAAAATGACAAAGCGTCGTTGAGACGCGGGGATATTAACGCGTGTCACCATTATATGATCATCAAGGAACTTACTAATTTCTGATCGTATCCGACCAACTGGATATTAGACAGCGCTGAATTAACAGCATTCATCGAGTACAATTGCTTCCAAGATTTAGGTTTAACAGCGTCTGCTAAAGGAGAAGGCAAAATATGAAGCATCTCCTTCCAGTACTTGGCTAAAGTAGTTCTGGGAGTCTGCTCAATATACTGGACCAATTCCTCCATAAAGAATCTCCCGATCTGGAGCGTTGGTTCTGTCGCATACACGATTCCCTTGAACCCTGTAGCTTCAGTGATGAACGGCAAGGCCATCATACACGTGTAGTTTGACACCAGTATCACGTCGATCTCTGAAAAGTCTATTATTTTCTCGAGCGGAGGCGAAAATTCAGGTATCGAATCTACGAATACCCGACCACAGCATTCCTTTAATTCGCCTTCGATTTTCCACTCCTGGCTGTGATACTGCTGATAAGGGGTCTGGCTGTGGTAATGATTGTGATGGGTGTCTCGCGGAAGCCAGTTCGGCAAGGCGTTGAATTTCCCACTTGGTACCATCGGGATCGGCATGAAGTTTAATATTGACTGCATATTCAAACTGCAGTCCAGCATTATAGTTATGCCTTTGAATGTTAGCACCAAACATGGCTTAGTTGGTTCACTTGATAAACAATACTGGAATTTTTTATTAAAATTTATTAGTTCGGTTATTTTTATGTAAAAAATTGTTTTTAAATATAATCACAAGTCTGTTAATTTTTCATATAAATCCGCTTTAATATTTCAATTAATTGATTATATAATTTTCAAAAATTTAATTTTATGAATATTTAAATTGTTTGTTTAAAATAATCAAGTCTTTGTTTAAATATCATAATTATAAAACTTATGTGATTTATAAATTTAATAAAATTTTTAAATCATTATAAAGGCTAATTTTTTAATTTTGAATCAAAATAAAAATTATTATTCCCAGTATATTTATATATTTGTAAAATATATAGATATATTTTGGCATTGGATAAAATTTGATTTTTAATTAAAAAACTAGCCCTAAATTAAAATTATAAAAAAAAAATTTCTTTGTACTCACCAATTTCATTTTTAATTGTTATTTAATTCATTTTTCTCTCTAAAAAAGTTAGTAAATTTTTTTTTTAGGTTAAATCCAAGCGAATTTATTTTTACAATAAATTCTTGAGAATAAATCTAAAAAAAAAAAAGTAATTATTTGTAATTATTACTCGTCTTCTTATTCGATTACTTTAAATGTCAATAGTATAATTTTTTTATAAACATCCAAGCAGTTTGTAAACAAAATAAATGTAAGGTATATAGTTTAACCTATATATTTATGCTGAGTTTGTGTACGTAAACAAACCGGTTGGGCGTCACGTGTGAGTAGTAATATTTCATGAAAATTTTCAATTTAAATTCATTTATAGAGTAATAATTTTATTAAAAATGATGTACCAAGTGATAGTGTTGTTTAACGGTTATTCGAAACAATTAAAAGACGGCAAATCAGAAGCTAATTGCTCGTGTACCTTGATAAAAGGTCAAGAGATAAATATTATTGTTGACACCATGACTGCGTGGGACCGTGATAAAATTTTGACAGGTAGTTTTATGAAACAAAAATAATTTTAAAAGATACATTATTATTAATTGTAATTAATTATTCTTTTATTTTATTTTTAGCACTAAGAAGTCATAATGTTAAACCTGAAGAAATAAATTATGTTGTGTGTACTCATAGTCATGCTGATCATATCGGTAATAACAATTTATTTACACACGCTCAGCAACATATTGTAGGTTACTGTATTCATAGAGAAAATTTATTTGATGAATTACAATTGAGTACCAAAGGTAAAAAATTTATTTCAAATTGTTTTGCAATTTAATTATTATATAATACTCAAGTTAGTTGAAGTTTTTAATTTTTTTTCATAAAAATTAAATTAGCCGAGATCTGAAAATTAAAAAAATTTTTTTTTATTAAAAAAATTGGTACAAAAAAAATTTTTAAAAAATGTCACTTGTAAAAAACTTGAAAAACTGTAAGTGCAATTTTTTAAAAATATTTTTTTGTTCTAATTTAATTAATGAAGAAAAATTAAAAACGTCGGCTAACTTTAGGATTATTATTATTTTTTTTTTTTTCATTCATTAAATTGAAATATAAAAATATTTTTTTTAAATTGCACATGAAGTTTTTCAAATTTTTTACAAATGAAAGTTATTTTTAATAATTTTTTCAATTAAAAAAATTATACAAGATATCAGCTAACTTAATTTTAATTTTTCATTAAGTAGTAAGAAGAATTTTTAAATAATAATAATAGTTTTATAGATTATTATTATTATTATTATGGCTCATCAGAAAATAATTAATGGAGCGGGCAAATAAATTAATACTTTCTGTTTAACGCAACGTTTCGCAATAGTTTATTGCTTCCTCAGGGGGTAACAAATTAAATAATTATAATTATTAAAATAAATAAAAAGTATTAATTTATTTGCTCGCTCCAATAATTATCCTCTGATGAGTCATAATATTTATAATTGAGAAGCTGATACACTTACATGATGAATAATAATGATAATAAATACAAATTAATTTTAATTATTTACATTTATTTAGGTGAATATCAACTCAATGAAGATTTAAAAATAATTGCAACACCTGGTCATACTTCTGAAGACATAACACTCTTAATAAAAAATTGTAGAATAATAAACACTGATGTAAATGATGTTGATGGATCTCAGGCTTTGCAGACTCATTGTGTAGCTATTGTCGGTGATTTATTTGAAAAAGAAGCGGACATCGCTGATCCAGAAATATGGAAGTCGGTAGGCAAAAAAGAACTGGAGAAAATCCAGGCTAAAAATCGCCTGATGATTATCAAGTCCGCTGATTATATAGTACCTGGGCATGGACCTATGTTTAAAGTAACTGAAGACATGATAAGACAATTAGAATCACAGTTGTAATTAAAATAACTTATTACCTTTGCAACACAATATTTTATTTAAATTCAAACAAATTAAATAATTATAATTATTAAAAAAGAAATTGGATCGGCGTAGCATTTACCTGCAATGCTTTTCTTTTTTTTTATCGTAATAATAATAATAATAATAATAATAATAATATAATACTGATTGTGATTACTTATTGTAGTTATATCGTATTCCCATATAATATCATAAAAATAATTATTATAAATGTACATTAAAGATTGTAGTGTAGGATAATTATATTGCGAGAGAAAAAAATATAAATATTTTATTTTAACTATTTTATGATGTCAAGTACGCTATTTAATTAAATTAGATGTTGGAGTACGGCAGTGTATGATGGCTAGGTACTGCGTCAAATGACTGTAAATAAAAAAAACACAAAACAAACAAAAAAAATGAATTAAAAAAATCATTTTTAATTGTAGGTAACTAATCATTTAAAAGCTAATCAGTAATATAAAAATTTAATCAATCAAAGTTTTACCATACACCAGAAATTGTAAGTACATGCAATAATAATTATTTTTATTAGTTTATTAATAATCGGTAATTAGTAATTGTTAATAAATAAAATCTAATAGATAGATAATTAATTACCATGGAATTGTTGCATTAAAAATTTTAAAATACAATTTTAAAAAATATATCAGTGCTATTAATGAACAATAAAATTACAATCGTTTAAAAATTATTTTAATTTGATTGGCATTTAAGGATTTTTAAATATATTTTATTTAAATATTTAAAGCACGCACACACATACAATAAATAAAACTATGCGCTCATGGACACAGCAAATTTTTATTTTATATATTTATATAAATTAATATATTAAATCCACATATTTTTACACTATTTATCATTTTTATTTTTATAATAAAAATGAATATATTATTGTCGTCAAAAAAAAAAAAATAAAATAATAAATATTTTAATACTCATATCGCAGAAAGTACTTTCAGCCGCTGTTAATATTTCATTATTATAATCGTTTTATATATCTGTCTATATAAATAATTGAGGTATTACAACTGTCACAATTTCCTACTGGCAGTGCGGAGTAATTCAACGCACAGTTATTGATTTTTTATTAATAATAATAAGTTAATACAATAAAAGTGTATGCGTGTAAATAAACTGAATAAATTCTATTTACTGTAACATATATTTGATGTCGCGTATATACACGCGCCATAGAGCTGAGCAATAATTAATTAACGTTTCTATTAATTTACAATAATTTTTTTTTATACACGCATACACTACAAGGATTTTTTTTATATTGTCGCGGTAATTTTTTCTGTAACACGTCTAATTATCTAATCAAAAAAAAAAAATATTAAATTGTCAAAATAATTATAAAAAAAAAAAATATTCTATAAGTAATCAACAATACTTAATTCTTCTATCATTTCATCAAAATAAAAACATACTTTTTATATAATTCTTCAAAATATTTTAAAGAAAAATATTTTTTCGTTTGAAATTAATTAAATTTTTAGAAATTTTTAATTAAAATTAAATAAGTATCAATTAATTGATAATAATAATAAATAGCAACAATAACAATGGTATATCTATCTTCTGTGCAAGTTAAGGATAACATAAGGTTCATCAGTTGTTGTAGTTGTAGTTGAGTTAGAAAATTCAGAATTATTATTTGGCTGGTAGCAGGGGTTAACAGTGTAATTTAAATTATTTGACTGGTGAAAACTTACCGGTTCAAGACTCCCGGTATTCCAGTCACCTGCCCCCCCTCCTACCTGATCGCGCTGATGCGAGTGTGCTAGACATAAATCTGAATCTGAATCAACTCTTCTCACGTTATTTAATTCCTCCTAGATAATTTAATTCATTATCAAGTTTTAGCTTTTAAAATCATTAAACAGTAAAAAAAAAAAAAATAAAATAAAATAGTACCTGAGATAATTGCTGAGCTGTGGTAAGAAGTCTAGCAAGAGGTGTACAGCAAACCGGCAAAGTCTCCAGCAGAGTTGGCCGTGAGTGTGTGAGAAGTGGTTTCATGTAGCGGGTGTCAAAGTCACCCCAAACTCTCGCTAGGAAAGCCTTTTCATTTGGCGGTGACCACGAGGAGGAAGATGCCTTGTGTCCTGATAAATTCGGACCACTTCCACCCGTACTGCCCGCGTCTCCCTGTGAGCAATTATCCTGCATCGAATTGTACTGCAATGAATAAATAATTTAACAAACCGCTATTAACTACCGCAAACTCTAGGAACCCAAATAAAATTATTACATTTAATTACTTTACACTAATTCAGCGTTTTAAATAATAATTTATAATAATAATAATTGTAGCTCAAAAGCTGTGAAATAATAAAACTATATGTGAGTGTGAAAATGAAAATAAAACCTACCGGAGGACTTTGGCCTCGATGTAGCTGCAGATTTCCATCGCAAGCGTATCCACATGCACTGTCGACGCCACTAGTCTATTTAAACAATATTTTATATTTTTTTTTTTTTTTTTTTTATTTTAACATTTACTTCTATATTAGGTGTTGTTCCGCCGGTAGATTAGTAAAAATAATAAATTTCTTATTATTATTAATAAAAAAAAAAATAAATAAAATTTAATGATGATGGTGTTAATGCAAAACGTATTCAAAATAAGCGCTTAGTAATTTAATTTTATAATAATTTATAGCAATTAATGACAAGCGAATCCAGTATGTAATAATAATAAAAATACTTACATGTCTAACTTGACCATGAGTGGCGGATGTTGATGAAGTAAGTCCTTCTATTTCTTCGTCTACGCCGATTCTATGTTAGAAATAAAAATTGTTATTTTAATTTAATTACAGAAGATAGATATTTATAAATGTTAAGACTAGATACTTACGGAATTTTAAACCAACTAAGGAATTGTGTGGTCATACCACCTTGAAGTATAACAGTAAGGATAACAATAAGACTTGTAGTTGTTAACATTGATTGTCGTGCGTCGGAGACAGTATTTCTTATTGCTAAGGCAAAGCTCATGGCCCCTCTTAGACCTGAGCAGAACAGCATGTGTTGAAAATTCATCGAAATTTTGGGTTTGCGTGCTAAGTTGAGAATAAACGACAGAGGGTAAACATTTGCTGCACGGCCTATCAGCGCGCAAATGAATCCCACGATGATGAATCCCGGCTCAAAGCGATGTTTAGGGAACGTAAACATCGATACTCCGATGTAGCTGAATATGAAGTTTTCGGCGAGGAAAGTTAGGAGCTCAAACAGCTGTTTCGTGCGCTGTCGCGACTCTATGCTCAGGTTGTTGTAGGTATAATGAGCTTGGCAGATACCGCAGAAAAGCACCGCTACGATACCGGTTAAATCAGCGGCTTCGGCGATTAAAAATGTGCTGTATGACATCAAAACGAATAAGGCTGACTCCAGCAGCGGAAAATCACGTACCCGCGTGAATTTCGTCAGTAGCGCAGTGACACAACCCATTGTTGCGCCAATCAATAATGATAATCCGAATATGCGAAGAAAATCACTCAGTGCTTGGAAGAACGCTAGAGTTTCAAAGCCACCAGTTCCTGTTTGATATCTCGCTCCATAATTTTGAATTGACCTGTAATATTTTTTTTTTGTTTAATTTCAAGGTAATTTGCTACGATACTAAATTTAACAGACATTGAACAATTTTTTAGATTTTTATATTAATTAAATTATGAAAAAAATTTCTTATGTAGAAATTAAAAAAAATATATTTTTTATAATAATTGATTGATTATAAAAATTCCAAAAATTGTCAGATGTTTGATAATTTCAGTAACATAATTTGCTAGATTATTTAAATGGTATCACAAAATACCCGCGTTTATGTTAAAGAAAGCAAAAATTTTTTTTCAAAAAACCACAGCAGGTTCTTGTAGATAATTATTTGTAATTTTAAAACTACCTTTTATTTTTCTGGGCGATAATTAATTGTTGAGGTATTGATGTGCAATTACCAAAGATTAATAAAAATATTATACATAAAGATTCTAAATATATAGCAATTAAGTATTTTAATAAGCTACCACAGACATTAAAGTCTTTAAATATAAAAAATAAGTTTAATAAAAAAGAAATTTTTAAGTAGATAACCTCAATTGATCTCTAAATGATGTTTTTACATTTTTTTGTTTCTTTTGTATTTTCACTTTAAAATGATACTTGTGCTATTTAGTATTAAGTTTTGATAGTTTTGCTTCTCCAGGTCTATGTACAGATGTTTTTTTTAACACCGATATAGGTACATACTTTGTATTGTATATACTATTTTGTATTCTGGTATTAATAAATAAATAAAATAAAAATGTTCGGGTGTTTTGTCACGCAGCCGTTTAAATTTTAATACTCACCCACTTAATACTATAGCTACCGCATCATTCAAAACACTCTCACCAAAAACTAAAGCATATAAATTAACATCGACATGTAGATCATTAAAAATTGATATTATTGTCAATGGGTCTGTCGGTGATATCAACGCTCCGAAATACAGCGTATCGAGAAATCCAAACGACTCGGATATATTTGGTACTAGTTTGAAAAATCCATACATTAACAATCTGTAATAAATTATTTAGTAAGTAAAATTTTAATTTTGAATTAAATTTAAATTTAAATTTTTAATTAGATTATTAAAAATAAATATAATTTATTTACCCAATAACTACTGATGAAATTGTAGTACCTATAAGAGCAAACATCAGAATGGCACCGAGATTACGGAAAAAATATTTCTGAAAAAAAAAAAAAAAAATTACTTTAATTAGATTACTGATTACTTGGAATTAAAAATAACAAACTGATAATAAATATAAATCTTACGTACTCGTTTCAAACTATAACCAGCGTGAAATATTATCGGAGGTAATATGATATTGAAAAATACCTCTGGATCAAATGTAGCCTAAGCAAAGTACCAGATAAAGTAATATAAATAATAAATAAATCAATAACTTGTATTGTATAAATTTATAAAAAATAAAATGTATTAATAATTTACCATATAGTAAATTTCATCTTCTTCTCTATAAATTTCTCCTCTAAACGAGTAAGAAAAAGTTTTATTTTTAATATGACCGCCTCCTTTGTCTTCAGGAAAACGAAGCCACAAGGAGTCTGGTGGTACTGACTGGTTGTATCTGCTGTGCTCGGTATCTGTCACAACTGGCATATGATGGATCGTGTTTTTTCCATCAGTTGTCCTTAATGCGTATCGGATAATCGCTCCAACAATTAGACCTGTAATTCATCAATAAATAAGTACAATTAATAATCAATAAAGTTAAATTTTAAAAGCTAAAAATAGTCACCATAAATTACAGCAAGACCCGTTTCATGAAGAAATCTTAATCTGCGATGTTTAAATGTCCAGATAGTCAAAACGGTGAGTGTTAGTAAAAATGTGTAAATTAACAGATTGATACTGTCAAGACGATGTAAAAATTGTGCTTTGGCATCAAGTTCAATATCTGTGGATGCTCCATTGCAAATTTTGTTGATCAGTGCAATTGAAGCGATCAGGCAGAAAACAATGAAATTATTTGGAACTGTCATCGTATGCGATCACTTATTACAAAAATAATAATAATAATAATAATAATAACAATAACAATTAAATAAAAAATATTATAAGAAGAAATCAAATAGATTCACTTTTATAAATAGTAATTGTAGTGTTTCTGTTCTTGCTCCAGCACATATTGAATTTATTATTATAATTACATAAATTTATAATAAAATTTATCGGAGATTATTTCACTAGTCGATTATACGACGTACAAGATAACAGAAGTGACCTTCTGTGATTATAAATTCGCTTTAAAAATTGTTTAATTTTTTTATTAACACAACAACACTGCATGAAATAAATATTTATTTTTAAATGTATATTTTATTAAAATTAATTATATTAAAATTAAATATATCCATTATTGCGCAAATCTAATCGTCACAACAGCTGAGGAGGTTAAATTGCTGACAAGACTAAATCAACTTAAACTTCCACTCAAGCATGTATATTCTATTTTTTATTACTTTTTTATATACATTTGAGAATTACACACGCACACACGCATATACTCAACTCATTGCACATTAGAATAAGTTATCGACTGAGAAACAGTCAGAAGTGGGAGTTTACGTGTTCTCATAATGCATGAAAATGAAGTTAGCTGACATTTCAAAATTTTTATAAATTTTTTATTGGAAAAATTTCAATTAAAAAATTTAAAAAAAAATTCACATGTTAAAAACTTAAAAAGCGCTATATAAGTGCAATTTTTTAAAATATCTTTTTAGTTGTAATTTAATTAATAAAAAATACTAAATAAGTTAGCCGACGTTTTTAATTTTTTGATTTTTCTTCATTAATTAAATTACAACTAAAAAGATATTTTTAAAAAATTGCACTTATAGCTTTTTTGTACCAATTTTTTTAATAAAAAAAAATTTTTTTTATTTTCAGATGTCGGCTAACTGGCTAACTTAATTTTCATCTGCTAACTTCAGGTCATTAATAAATGAAAATGAAGTTGGCCGACATTTCAAAATTTTTAGAAATTTTTTATTGAAAAAATTTCAATTAAAAAATTAAAAAAAAATTTCACATGTAAAAAACTTGAAAAGCTATAAGTGCAATTTTTTAAAAATATCTTTTTAGTTGTAATTTAATAATAAATAATGCGCATGTTCAAAATGGCGGGATACCGCTACTTCGAGGCTACAGATGGCAGATCTATAGGATAGTACCAAGCAGCGGAAACTGTACATGGGTATATATATCACACTTGTCTGTTGGAAATTAGTATATCAATGGAAGCAGGAAGCTTGGACTTGGACTTGGGAAAATTACACGCCAACAATTATTGAGTAAAAATAAAAATTCAGTGGTAAGTAATAGTTTTTATTTATTTATTTATTAATATTGCTGGTTACAGCTGAGTGATTAAAAAAAAATAAAAAAATAGTTGATATTTAATTTTAGAACTTTGGTGTAATCAGACGACTTATACCTTCCCGGTAATTTAGGTTGGCGACTATTTAGTGATCCATTTACTCGGTGAATTGAATAATCATCTGATAATCAATTGAAAAAAAATGGGAGACTCCGATGATGAGTATGATAGAAAACGGCGAGATAAATTCAGAGGAGAAAGACCTGAATCTTATTCACGAGGTGGTGATGGCAGGCGTGATGATAGGCGCGGTGGCGGCGGCGGGGGCGGAGGTGGACGTGATGAATGGCCTGAAAGGTAATTATTTATTTTTATTATTAATAATTATTTTAGTTATTTATTTATAAATGTGATTGGAAATTTTACAAGCAGAGAATGGTCGAGCAGATCCAGAACGCGGCCAGACTACCGGGACTACCGAGGAGGTGGAGGAGGAGGTGGCAACAGGGACCGTTACAGTCCGGTTCGCTCTCAGGAAATTTCGTCGGGGCCGCCATTGAAAAGAATGCGTGGTGAATGGGACGACAGACCATCCTCGAGATACGCACACTCGGATTATTACATGGGAGGTGGTGGAGGTGGTGATCGCGGAAGTTCATGGGCACCTCCTTCTGATCATTACATGTCGCATCACAGCAATCATCATTACGGTAGTGGTGGTGGTGATCGGCATAGTAATAACAATAGTAATAACAGGTTTGTTTTTTTTTATTTTTTTTTTTTTTTGTGATAAAAAATTGAGAGACATCTGATAATATTTAAAAATTTTTTAACTAATAAATTATAGCAAGAAAATTTTATTTAAAAGCTCTATAAACTCACAAGTGCAATTTTTTAAAATAATTTTCTACACTTAGTTTATTATTTAAAAAAAATTAAAAAATTGTCAAGTCCTTGCTAATTTCAATGTAATTTTTTCATGATACTTAAATTGACAGACATCTGATAATTTTTAGAAATTTTTCAACTAATAAATTATAGCAAGAAAAATTTATTTAAATAATTCCATTTTTAAAAACTTTAAAAAATTATAAGTGCAATTTTTTAAAAATAATTTTCTAGAGCTAATTTATTATTAAATTTGATAATATTTAGTGGATAAATCTTAGATTAATTTTAATCTTGATGAAAAAAAACATAATTCTAAGATTGATTTACATTTTAAACTAGAATTAGTTTCTTCTAAATATTTTTTATGTTAGTGTGAAATTCATTTATGATACTTGGTATTAGTGATACAATCTAGTCATAAACAAAAAAGAATCAAAAAAGTATTACATAATAGTTACAGAATAATTGACAAAAAAAAAAAATTATTGATATAAAAAAGCTTTTGATTATATAAGCAAGATTAATTTTTAGGGAATAATTAATCTATTGTATTGCAAGAGGTATATTATATTTTATTTAATAATTAAATTAAAATAATTATCAAGATAAAAATGATTAATAGATTAAAAAATAAAATTTATTGGTTAAATTATAATTGATTTTCAGGAGTGAAGTAGCAGGAAATTTCAGCAATTCAAATATTGAAACACAACCACCAATGATGACTTTCAAGGCGTTCCTTGTTACTCAGGAAGACTCGATAACTGACGAAGAAGCGATTAAACGTTACAATGAGTATAAACAGGAGTTCCGACGTCAGCAATTGAATGAATTTTTCGTAGCCCACAAAGACGAGGAATGGTAAGTCATACATTTTTTTCTGTTTTATCAGTACAATACTATTACAGATATAACAATAATAATTATTGATAACACTCGTTTATGAAATTGAGGTGTTCCTAAGTATTTAAGTGTAAAAAACTATTTGATATAAAATTTAATTCAATGCATCAGATAGGATTGAATTAAATTGATAAAATGAAATATCAATTGACAAATATTCGATATTAATTATTTATTAACAAAGTAAATAAAAAAAAAAAAAATAAAGTAGAATGAGTACGTAAATACGTAAAAGAAAAAGAGAAAGATTTATTAGATGTATGTAAATATAAATATAGTAATATAATAGTTAAATTTAGATTGATTTTGATTGATAAAGTATTATCACAACAGCTTATATATTTCGATGATCCCCACAGTGTGTGCAACCACAGCAGAGTGTGCCTGTGTACATCAAGGTCCTATTGTTTCATCTCAACTAATTTGCGCGGCACAACCAACATGTATATATGTTGTAAATAACGCACGAACATGAATAATTATTATAATTCAATATATTATATGCTATAATCAAAAAATGAACACAATGATTATTATAAAAAAAGGGTGATGATGATTATTTAGCTCAGGCCGCTGTTAGGATTCAGTCATCACTCAGAAAAAAAACATTTTTGGTTTAACCAATTGCGTTTATTTGCGAGCTGGGCGCGCAAAGCCCAAAATAATCCGCTCGCTTTCGGTGCCGCGATTTTAAAACCGTTATTAGTTTGTTAGGGAATCAAATATATATATATATTTTGATTTTTAAAATCATAAATCAATGTGCTGTGCATATAGCACATAACAGGTGAGGTACTCAAATTTACCATGTTCCCGTGTTTATTATTATTATTAATTAATTAATTAAATTACTGTTTTTATTATTAAATAAATAATTTTCATTTTTTTTTTTTTTTTTTAATACTACGCGCGTGATATTTTTTTTTTATTTTTTGTTTACTATTAATTTTTTTTATCTTAAATGCTCAAATATCTGATAATTCTCACAACATCGCTCAAAGCGATTCGAGAAAATAATTAAACTTCTGAATAATTTTTCTGATGTAATAACTAAAATGTTTACAATATTAATATAAGTATTGAAATAATTTTTAAATATTTTTTACTAATACTGATTTTTTTTTTTGTCTTTTTTCAACTGTGGTAAAAATGCAGGTTCAAGATTAAGTACCATCCTGAGGAATCAATCAAGCGTAAAGAGGAACAAATATCTGCTTTAAAGGTATTATTTTTTACTATACGGTTGTAATTATATAGATGAATAGATAGATAGATAGATAGTAAATTTTATTTGATCCTGGAGTTCTAAGCTCCTTCAGGACCATCAACAATACATAAAGATAATAGTTTGCAAGTAAACATTTGATACAGTGTTCGCAATACAATTTTAAAGATTGACATTAATTATATAATAATAACTAAAATGTTAAACTGTAAGATTAATGGTAATTTCATTGATTGCAAGAAGTTAAAACATATGGAGTAGTGTGCTCAAATCTCGAAATTTTTAAAATATATCTAATACAAGAATTTATTTTACGCTGCAATATTTGCTGTAATTTGCCTGAGATATTTGTATAAGCGGCACAGCAGTAGTCAAAAATTATTTTTATTTTAGTAAATTTATTTCAATATAAAATATAATTAAAAAAAAAAATTTATATAAATGTGTTACAGAAACGTGTGGAAGTATTTTTGGAGCTACTAAACGCAGGTGAAATTGACAAAGTGTCAATAGATGTCGATCAATCTACGCCTTTGCTGCGACTATTAGACACGGTAGTAATTAAATTGGAAGGAGGAACTGAGGAGGATTTAAAGGTTCTCGAGGATGCACCAGCTGCTCCCACGACTCCCTTGGCACCTAAGGAGGTAATTTCGAAAGAACCCCAGAAGGATAAAGAAAAAGACAAAGACAAGGAAAAAGATAAAGATAAAGATAAAGAAAAAGATGAAGACGTGCCAGAAAAAAAAGACGAAGAAGAAATTAGTGATAAGCCAGCTGAAGAGCCAATGGAGACAGTCACGGTAAAAGACGATGAAAATGATAACGATGAGGAAGTTAACAAGCAAGAAGATGAAGATAATGATGATGATGATGAAGACGAGGATAAGCCCACAGAGTCAAGTGCTCAGGAGGAAAAACCCGTGGCAGCTCTGAAAGAAAAGGGGAAAAAAAGCAAGAAGAGTAAAAAGTCGAAAAAAGAAGCTGCTGATCAAGACAAAGAAAAGTCTGATGAACAGGATGATTCAGCTAAAGCTGAGAAAATAATCGACGGTGAAGAAGAACCTGTTGATAATAATAACCAAGACGAGAATATGGAAATTCCTTTGGCTACCGCAGAAGTAGCTGCTAGTAATAGCAAAAAGCGGAAACGAACTGCTAGCAATTCCAGCAGCTCCAGTGTTGAAGACAATGATGCCAATGATAATCGCAGCACTACCAGCAATAAAAGTTCTGCGTCGAGTAACAGCAGCAGTAGCAGCAGCTCTTCTCAATCTTCTCCGGATAATAATAATGAGGAAAATGAGGAAAATGAGGAAAACGAGAACGAGAACGAGAACGAGGTGGAGAATGAAAAAATGGATACTGCTGACAATGCCAATGAAGATGAAAAGCCTGAGGCTGTTGAAGAAAAATCACAACTATCACCCAGTGGGTCGACAGATAAGAACAAGATCGATGATAAGTCCGGTGAGGGAGGTGAGGAAGAGAGCAAAGACACGGATAAAGATAAGCGGGATGACAAGGCGAGCAAAAACCAAGTTGAAGCCGTTATTGATCTCGTTGAAACTGGAGAGGAGGACAAGGATGAAAAGGATTCCGCTACAGTGAATCCTCCTCGAGCTTTGCACAAAACTAGCAGTATATTTTTAAGGAACTTGGCGCCGACGATAACCAAAGCTGAGGTCGAGGCGATGTGCAAGCGGTTCCCAGGATTTTTGAGGGTCGCAATTGCGGATCCTCAGCCCGAACGTCGTTGGTTCCGTCGCGGGTGGGTGTCTTTTGAGCGGCAAGTTAATATCAAAGAAATCTGCTGGAGCTTGAATAATATCAGACTGAGAGAGTGCGAGCTTGGAGCTATTGTTAATCGCGATTTGTTACGCAGAATCCGGACTGTCAATGGAATCACAGCTCATAAACAAATTGTGAGGTTTGATATTAAATTGACGGCTAAAATTATCCATAATTTAGACGCTAAAATCGGGTTGTGGGTTGACCCTAGTAATGTGAGTTCTAACAATAAAGACGGGGAAGAAGTTGCTGATAATAATAAAGATGCGAGTAAAAAAACTGACAATATTGTGATGGAGGTGATGCCTCTTGAGTTTGGATTTTCGTCTAAGAATCCGGTATTGAAGAATATCACTGACTATTTAATTGAAGAGGCTTCAGCGGAAGAAGAAGAGCTGCTTGGGAGGGGAAATGTTGATGGAGGAACTGGCAGTGGTGAGCAGCAAGAAGAAGGCCAGCTGGAGGGTGCCAATGAAAACAGCGATGAAGGTCCGATAGATCGGGATCCAGCTTTGACTAAAGTTCTCGACAGACTTATTTTGTATTTAAGAATCGTACATTCCGTTGATTATTACAATCACTGCGAGTACCCCAACGAAGACGAGATGCCTAACAGGTGTGGAATCATGCATGTTCGAGGACCTCCGCCTCAGAATTCCAAGGTCTCGTTTACGGAACTTCAGGAGTACTGTCGTAATTTTGAGAGCAAGATGTCGAACTTCTTGGCTCCGAGTTCTAGTTCTGCCCCGGGAATGCCGGATGAAGAGTTCCAGAAATTAGGAGCCAAAAATGCCGAAGCTGAGGTCGAGAAATTCGTCCAGGCAAACACTCAAGAGCTGGCTAAAGACAAGTGGCTCTGTCCGTTGAGTGGCAAAAAATTCAAGGGACCTGATTTTATTCGTAAACATATTTTCAATAAACACGCCGAAAAGGTCACTGAGGTTAAAGCTGAGGCTGAGTACTTTAATAATTATCTAAAGGACCCCAAGAGACCCATCTTGCCGGAACATCCTGGCAATAAAGCTCCAGCTGCGGCTGCTAACGCTCAAGGACCCAGGGAAGGGTTGCTCAGGGATAATTATCCACCTTTTGGAGGCATGGGAGGGTAATTATTTTTTTTCTTTAGTCTTTTATATTAATTAAACGTTCATAGAGTCAAATAAGTAATAACTTTTTATGAAATTTATTCGGGACTTGAGAATAATTTTGAGGATATCAATAATCTTAGAGACACTGAAGTTAACTGATATTAAAATTGTTTTATAATTTTATAGCAATGAAGTTATTAAGAAAAAAATTTAATTAAAAATTCCACAAAAAAAAATTTTTAAAGCATTTTTTTTGCAATTGATTTTTATAAAAACTTAAAATAACTAGCAACCTTGCAGTCACTATGTGACTTCCGTGTAAACTACAAGTAATAAAAATTTTATTTTATTAAATAATGAATTTCGTTAAATTGCACTGGACTTTATTAACTATTGACGTTTTTAAAGATATAAGCTCATCCTGATGCTACACTTATCAAGAGCTTTCATTTGAGTACCCACATGCATTTTTGATATATATATATATATATATATATATATATAATATATATGAAAAATTGATGTGGGTACTCAAATGAAAGGTCTCGATGAGTGTAACATCGGGATGAGCTTATATCTTTAAAAATGTCAATAGTTCTCAAGATTAACAAATTAACAAATATAAGTTTTGACTTATAAATTTTAAGATAATTGGTTATTTGGGAACATTTAATTTTTTAATTGTTAATAACTTTTTTGAAATAATCAAAAAAGAGTTTAAAATTTTTTATTTTAATTGTAAATTATAATTAGTAATTTTTGTTTTTTTTTTTTTTTTTTTCTCAATAGATTTGGTGGATATGGAGGCAGTAACTTCGGAAGCGGAAGAGGAATTTTTGGAAGTTCAGGCGGCTATGGCGGTGGTTTCGGAGGTGGATTTGGTGGTGGAATGTCACGACCATCTCGCGGAGGATTCAATCGTGGACGGTAAGTTTCTATTTTTTAATTAAAATGTTCTATGAGTAGTACTGCAATTATAAATTTCGGCTGAAATCTACCCCTTGGCTCGTGGAAATAATTTTATTCTATTTTGGATAGTTGAAGATTGGTAGTAATTAAATTTGGTAATAAGGATAATTAGTCAATTGCGAAAAAATAAATAATTTAAAAATTCGTGATTTATTCTCACCCATACGTACAATAAAAATGATTGCAGGGCTGCACCAGCAGATATGACGTCGAGACCAGTAATTAGTTACAATGACTTGGACACGTTAGACAACGATATATTTTAATTGTATGTTGCAGCAACAGCAACAATCCTGATTTTCGACCGGTTATTCACTACCGGGATCTTGATGCCCCAAGAGAGCCTGATGAATTTTTGTAAATTTATATAACTGTTGTTGAAAAAATATGAGAGAAAAAAAGCGTACGCTTTTTTCAATACAAAAATGCGTACAATCCTGATAAAATTAAACATCATCAAGAGAAGACAAAATGCCTAGTGGAACTTACGCATAGATATTAATAATTAAATATTATTTAAATAAATAAGACTTAGAATTAATTTAAGTAATTAAATAACTAATAATAATAATAATAATATCTATTATGATTTTATTAATTGGAATTACTACATTTTTTTGATTTAAATGTTCAGTGCAACTTGGAGGAAATAATTGTATAATAAATTATTATAATTAATTGTAATTTGTCCGTCAATACTTAAATTTGAGTACTGGACAAAATTTTGAAAATAAAAAATTTTTCACTTAAAAATTTATTTACTTTTTTTTTTTTTTTAAGTATACTTATTCTATAGAATAAAATTACGACACACCTAAAAATTGCGCGTAAACTTGTTGCTGACACCTCGGAGCCCTTTGACATGCGCACACTTAACAATCGATTGTGTGTATAAACTAAATAAAAACCCCAGTGTAATGTCATTCGGTCTGCAATGTTCTCTTAAGCTCAACGTGTGTGTGTACCGCACAAAAATACTGTAGAATTTAAACGTACAACGCAATTATTGTTTTATTAGATATTAGTGATTACTTTTAAGAAGTTAAGTAAGTATATTATAAAAAATAATTTTTAAATTGTAAAATTACTTTTTTTTTTTTTTTTTTTTTTTTTTTTTATTAATAATTTAAGTACATTTGTTCCAGGCTTTGTAGTAATTAGTTATAACTAGTTGATTAAAAATGTCTAAAGTATTGACCTCAGGATCAAGTATATTACTTCTGTTCATAACAATTGCGTCACTAAAATCAATCGGAGCGGCTAATCTCTATAATTTTGAAGAGCACAATGGAAAAATTTCGTTAATTAATAATAATAACGCCGCTTCCGTGCGTCATAATCATTTAAATTCACTCAATAATGACAATGATAGAGTCCAGAGGTCTGTTAATTCAAACCATAATTATTATGATCAACAACGAAATCCGCTGGATTATATTGTAAATCCTTCTGATGATAATGGTAAGAAATATTTTTTATTTTTTCTATTACATATAATTTTTTTATCAATAATTGATGGATAAAATAAAGCTGAAGAAATAAGGGCGTGCTTTAATTAAATTCCATAAATTCCGAAAGAGATATCGTGCTTTATATGAATGCGCCATTCATTATTGGAAGTATTTGAACTCATCTTTTTATACAGAGCATTCATATATAAATATATATATAAATACATACTTTTTTTAGATAAAAATTTTTTTATTTACCATATGTCAGTTTTAATAAAAATTTAATAAATATAAAAGATATTAATATTTCTTCTTTATAATAAACAATTTAATCTTAATAAAAATTAATTATTATTATCATAATATTTATAAAAAAATATTAAAATATAATTTTTCGTAAAAACAACAGCTAAATATTGATTAAATTTTTGTTTAGAAAAAATTTTTTTAAATTGTTAAATTTTAACTAAATTTCATTTCTTCTTATCATCTCATATTTTTTTATTTATTTTAAAATAAATAAATAAATTGAAGTACTATTCACAAGTAATTATTGATAATAAATTATAAATTATGCAGATAAACAATTACTAAGTATAATTAAAAATATTGATGATTTACAACGTCTTAATGTCAAGGATAAAAATATATTAGCACTGAAACTGTCAAATTACCTCCAAAATATGGGCTATACTAAAAATAATAATAATAATAATAATAACTTAATGTCATTTTTGTTGGTGATGATGACACTAGCTGAGCATAAAAAACCACATGAGCGTATCCCATTATTTATTGACGGCTCAAACGATAACGACCAAGATGATAATGATGATGAAGTTGATGACAATGAGGAAGACGATTACAATAGTTTGGCTGAAATAATAAACAATAATAAGTTGAGTAAAGTTGCTATGGATAAAAACAAAGAGGACCAGGACCTTTATTACCGAAAGCGACGGCAAGTACTCAGGAATTTTGGAAGTAATGACAAATATCTTGATGTTGTTAAAAATAACTATCCTGTTAAGAGGAATGTTGATGTCATGAAGATGATGGAGCACCAGTGGATTGGTTCTGACTCAAACCGGCCTGAAGTAAGTTAGTTTGGAATTTTTAATTCACTCGGATCCCAGGAAATGAAATAATTAAATATAGTCAGCTTCTCCGGATCTTAAAATATTTTTTGATTTTTTTTTTTTTAATTCTGCAGTCTTTGTGTGTCATGACTTCTTCAAGCATTTAATAAATTAAATTGATTATCAATTATTACAATAATATATATATATATATATATATATATAACAATAAATCAAAAATTATAAATTGATATACTTTAAAATTTATATGCAATTGACAAGAAAGTATAATAATAAAGTTAGCCGACATTTTTTTATTTTGTTTAGTTTATTAAATTAAAACTAAAAAAATTTTTTTTTAATTACACTTATAGTTTTTCAAATTTTTTACAAATGAAATTAAAAAAAAATTTTTTTTTGTTATGATTTTTTAATAAAGAAAATTCTAAAAATTTTTCAATGTCTGCTAACTTTATTGTCATCAAAAAAGTTTAATAAATTTTATAACAAATAAATTACTACTGAGAAAAAGTTTTTTTTTAAAATTACAATAATTTTTTGACAGATCTACAAATTTAATTTTTCAGAAAATTAATTTTATTATAATTTATTTATTAAGTCATTCAAATTTGGCAAAATTTTTAATATCTATCAAATTCAGTGTTACTATTTGTCATTAACTTTCTAAAAATTTAATTTTTATTACTAAAAAAATTAGCCGACATTTTTGATTTTTTTATTTTGCTTAATTTATTAAATTACAACTAAAAAATATTTTTAAAAAATTGCACCTATAATTTTGTAAGTTTTTAACAAATGAAAAAAATTTTTTTGTAATAATTCTTTAATAAAAAAAATCATAAAAATTTTTAACTGTCAGCTAACTTTATTTTCATTAATTTTTATTAAAACTACTTTCAGAAAACTGCAGAACAAGATGATCTAGACATTTTGTTCGGCCTTCACAAAGAAGAAAAGAAAAACTTATCCGAAAAAAGTAATTCAGGCCCGAACAAAAAAGAAGAAATCGTACAAAGAAGTTCCCAAATAAAACCATCAAAAAATCCTGTCAATATGAATTCAGTGAACCCGACTGTGGAAAGTCATTTCAGTACCAAGAGTATCAACATTAATAATAAAATTAATCCTACAACAAAATCTAACGCCAAAGAAGAACTGACTCAAGAACAAATTCACATTACAAGTAAAAAGAAGAAGAATGTTGATTGGTCTCAGTACTTTGGTATTGACAAAAGAATGCGGCAACCTAATTGGTCATTTGCTGGTAAGCCTGAAACCCAAAAAGAAGACGATGATTGGCTGATCCAGCATTATTACCAGACCATGGCAGATAATTTAAACAACCATGCTCACCTGTCTTCTGTAAATAATAATTACAAGTCGATGAAGCGTAACAATGAAAACAAAATAGAAAATATTGTAAAGTACTCAAGAGACTCCGCGGTAGCAGATCAAGTTTATGAGATTGATGATGAAGATACGCAGAGAGTAAAAGACAAAATTTTGAGCCAACTAGCCGCGGCTTACTCATTGGAAAAAATGCGCAAAGCTTTGGACGAGCTGAAGCATAATATAAAAATTCACCAGCAAGGCGAGTCTTTTGATAAAGTCTACAGAGTTAAAGACTCCAGGGAGAAGAAAAATTACTTATCGAAGGTTAATAATAATTATGATAGCTTAAAAAGTCGTCCTTATTTTTTTCACCAGGATAAAAAGTCAGAGTGTCCTAGCTCGGAGCTAGAAGAAATAAAACAGCACTGCATGCCTGTAAATAATTATATTGGGGGCCAGATGCTGTTCCTGCCTTGCATCAGGCATCAGATTTGCAAGATGTGCAGCGATAACACAAAAGAAGAGAACAAATGCATAAACTTCTTCGCTATCGAGGCCGCAAGAGTTTGCGATAATATTCAGCAGGATGATGAAGATGATGATGATGGTGATCTGGTAGCTGCTCGCGACTCCTGTAGAAAAATTGCTGTCTCAATAACGCAAATACAAATCCCTCCATTAGTTGGCCAAGATAACTCGCTTTGCTACAAAATAATCACACACAGTAATTATAATTCTTGTTTGAAAGACTTTGAGCAACAAGAGCATCACAATTATTTTAATAATAACAATAATAATAATTATTATCCGTACAAAATGTAATGAAAGTAAGATGTTTATTTTAAATGTTTTAACTTCAACAGCCTAAGAAATATATATTTATCAGATTATTAATATATTATGGACCACCAGAATATAAATGTTTAAATAATTATATGTCCAATATTTATTGTTGTGTATTATGAAACAATAAAAGCTATAATTAAATTGAAAGTATTAAATAATTTATTATGAGATAGATTAAATCATGGGGTTGTACTTATTTCAATTTTGTGAAAAAAAACATTTTTTTTTTTTTATTTAGTTTTGTAATGCAGATATATATTTAAGTATATCTACTGAAAATTTAATGCCAGTCGGAGAACTATTTTTAAAGATAACTTATAAGGATTTTTGTAAAGTCTTTACACATTTAAACTTTAAATGTTTTTTTCTCAAAATTATATTTTAAAAGTCGATGAGCATTTATCAAAAACGGCTGATAAGATCATTCTTTAATTTTGAAAAAATTTTTTTGACTATATTTTTTAAAAATTGATTAATAATTTCGAAAATGTTTTATATTTTTATAAAGAATTTAAGGCTAAAATTTTTATCTAAAATCCTGAATTTTTTTTGTCAATTTATTAAAAATAATTATTTTGATAATTCTTTCAATTAATCGCTAGATAATAAGGTAAAAGACACTATTAGTGGCGGGGACCCCATTACTGACACTTTCTTTGATTTTGGTACTTATTCAATTAATAAAATCATTAATTTCAATAATGAATATTATATTATTTCTAATCTCTAAAATCTTTAGATCAAAAAAATTTTTAATTTTTATTTCAAGTTGAACATTTTTTCATTGAAAGAAAAAGTGCCACTAATGGGATCTTTTACCTTATCTTATATTAGTGAAATTTCTTTGAATTCAGTACTTAAAAGTAACCTTTTTTAGAAGACCTTCCAGAGATCGTCTACAGGAGCTAGAAAAATTATCATTTGCAAAAAAAAAAAAAAATTATTAACAAATAAAGATTGGATTGCAAGGAAGAAAATTTAATGATAATTAATTTAAGAGACATTTTATAAATTAAAAAAAATTTTTTTTTTTTTCAAATGAATCCCAAAAAAATTTTCACACAGGAATTTTAAAAAACTAATATAATTTTTTATATCTAATTTATTTGATAAATAAAATTGAAAAATGTTCAATTTTCGGCTGATTTCAGTTTCATAAAATTTCATACAAATGATTAATTTCTAATTTAAGAACCAAAAAATAAAAACTCATTAATATGCAAGTATATGATATATTTGACTTATGCATTCATACAGTTCTTAATAATTAATTAATAACATTTTACCCGGCTTAATTATTTATGTCGAATACCACTTCAACATTAATTTTAAATTTATCAATTTTTACAATTATTTTTTTTTACTTTCAGTGTGCGACCCGAAGGAAAAATCATAAATTTATTAATTTTTGCTGGATAGTCGAATTTAAAACCAATAATTAATTAATTACTACCAACTAATAATTAAATTTAAAAATCATTCTCTCCTTCCGTTGATACATTTTAATTTGATGTATTTAAATCTATTACTACTGCATTATTTATGATCGCATGTACTTTCTTAATTAATTAACATGTAAACTATGCATTCATTAGGAATATCAGAACAGTACATTGTCAATTATCACCCAGTACTTTTTTAATTATTTTTCTTTTTTTTTTTTATTTTTTTAAATTTTACTGTTTAAATATCCCCATTTATATTATTTTTTTTTTCTGTAAAGTTAATTATTTTTGACAATTTATCAAGATTTAGGTCATTGCTGTTATGTATGCCGAAGTGTCAGGCACTGGTCTAAACATTGTTCCACCGATTAACAAAAAATAATCATACTGTCGTCGATTTGTAATTCAAAAGTAATAAATAAATATTAAAACTATAAATAATCGTAATGTTTTATAGCGTTTGAACAATAAAAATGTTTAAAGAAGAAATAGCTTAAATAAAAATGAATATTGAAGCACTCTGTAATTATTGTCAAAGAAGAGTGCTTCGTTAATTATTGTCACCTATCGACGACTATAGGAAGAAGTGCTTAATTTAACATTAATAAATACATTGAATTATTATAAAAAAATAAAATAAAGAAAAAATAATATATATCTATTTATTACGGTGGTGCAAAAAAACCGATTATTTTTTTTTTTTGCCTCGAGTGAAAAAATTAAGAGCCCGCTCCAAAGAACAGCTCAAAAAAAAATTTTTAAGAGGTCGCTCCAAATTTTTTTAAATTTCAGAGTCAAAAAATGCTAATCTAATTAAATAGTCACTGATAAATTGAAAAAAAATTATGAGCGACCTTTTAAAATTCACATTTTGAACTGAAACTTTCAGGAAAACCTTTTTTTTTTTGTCTACAAAATTATTACGTAACGAGAAAAAAAATTAAAAAAAAAAATCGATTTTTGACGATTTTGAAATTAAAAAAAAAATATGGAGCGACCTCAAAATTTTTTTTTTAAGCTGTTCTTTGGAGAGAGCTCTTAAAACATCAAAAACTAAGATTTTTTCACTCGAGATTCAAAAAAAAAAAAATAGTCGATTTTTTTTGCGCCATCCTACTATTTATTTAGTAAAAGAATGATTATCGAACTTGCAACATGCATATACAATTATACCTCCACATTCCCGATTGATTAATTAATTAATTAATTTACGTTTTTTTTTTTTTTTTTTTATAATAAACATTTGCAAGATAAGACGTCACCTGTGACTTCGTATAATTTTTGCAATGACTCTCAACAAACTTATTTTATTAATAATAATTAATTGTTATTTTTAATTATTGTTGCGCAGTACCTTACACAAATTTTCTTCACATTTTATTACAAAACAAAATAATTATATCTAATTCTAATGCTATTTTTTTAAAATCACGTCTTTACCCGCTATCTCAGTGTTTCCATCATTAATGCATTCTATTTTTTTGTTTTTATTTATTTAAAGCTGCACTTTATTTTTTAATTATTAAGTATTTCTTCCCAAGTTTATAATTTAATGATATTTAATTTTTTTACGCTTAAGAACAATCGATACATGAATTAATTCACTTGATTTAACAAAAATAATTTTATAAAGCGCAATTTATTTTTCTTTTAAATAATAAATTATTTCATTAATTAATTAAAAAAAAGTCACACTTTGCCACAAATTGCTTGCATAAAATATAACTGAATTTAAATCGTTTGCATATTCAATATTATTTTTTTTTTATTTATAAATATAAATTATTTTTCTTATAATAATATTTTGTGGGAAATTATTTTTTATTATCATTATTATTTTATATTTTAATGCAGGCAACTTACATTATAATTATTATCTTATACGCTTATTATTGGTGCCAATTGTACACATGTTTTTTTTTATCAGTTATCATTTTTCGAGTCATTGGTAATCTAGATTGATTAATTAATTAATCTATTCTAATGATCTACGACGGAAATACCGTTCGCTTTTTTTTTCTTCTATAATTGATAATGATCCAAAAGTACATAATAATTATAATAGTAATAATAATAATAATAATAATAATGTTCGGTTTGATGATCTACATGCTTTATCAATCACAGTGCACAAAGGGTCACAATTATTGTTATTTAATAATTATAATTATCATTTAAATGATTAATAAAAAAATATTTATACGAAGTAAACTTAAATAATAACGTTGGCTCGTATATTTTTATAATTATTCTATACGTGATAGCAGTACAGATATTAATTCAATCAAAAATTTATCGAGACCATTCCCGGCTGATTTTCTTAATTATTTACAATTTTTTTTTTTTTTTTTTTTTTTTTTTTTTCTAAATCTACAAGCAATGTGACGTATTTTTTCTGTACATTGATTTTTTGACCATACATATTCATTTTATTATTAATAAATATTTTCAGTGTGTCACTGTAATTTTTAAAATAGTAATTGGAGTTTTCGCAATTTATTTTATTGACGTAATTTTTAAAAAAATCAGATGAGATTTTAAATAAAATTTAACATATATTGTTATTACAATAATGGATTTTGTTCTTTGTAATACGCGATGACAGGTCAAAGACGTATAATATTTTTAAAAATTCTTATTGAATTATTCTAAATTGTAATAAAGATTATTTATTATCACTTACGCTATTGTAGAAGTTTTACAGTTTATAGTGTTTTTGCTCCCGTACTTAAACTATTTAACATTAAAACTATAATAAATATTATTATTATTATTATTCCATAGAGCTTGTTTAAGTGAGATACTTTCGTGAATGGCGATTTGATTTATTTTTATTTAAATTCCCGGTATTTTTTTTATTGAAATTTTTAACGCATATTTTTTTTTAAATATTTTAATACTGAAATTAAGATTATTAGAAATTTATTTTATTATTGTTACTAAATACCAATATTGTTAAAATATCAAAATATAAATAAAATATTTTTTTGAGTAGAAATTAATTAAAAAAAAAAATAATTGAGCGATCAGAAAAATACAATGCGTTAATAATTTCAGACAATCAAATCACACTGAAAAGTAATACAAGCGTATATCATAAATATGTGCGTCTATTTATTCTATAACAATAAAATTAATTAATAATATATTGACACAATTCGTGGAGAAATAAAATTTAATTTTTTTTCTCTAAACCTTCTATAATAATTCAAGTGTGATATATAATTGTAGAAGTGTAATTGCGTGTTACTTAAAATTAATGAACGAAATGAGCTCTTATTTATAGTAATGAATTGATAGGTTTATTTTTCATTAATGGAATTAATGTTTAAAAATCAACTCTATGATTATTTTTACTATTATTATCATTAACTAGTTTTTCAATGTTTTTTTTTTTTTCACTGTATTTTTTTTTTTCTTGCATTGATAGGGCGTTTTTTTTAGTTGCTTTAGTTATCAAATACGTCTGCCCAGACCTAATGCCTCTTTAATAATTAATAATGTAAGTAATAATAATTATAAATTCAATGATAACAAGTGAATCCTAAATTTCCTTACAGACTACATATAAGAATTTAAATAAATTGTATTATAATATTATATTAAATAATTACTTAATACTAATAATTAAAAATGAAAATCAATCATAATTAATAATTACAATTATGATTTATAATTATAAATAATTGAGTTATTTATAATTGAAACCATTACCATGACAAACTCCTCCACTTTCGATTTAATAATTATTTTTCTTGGTCATTTCAGCTAAGCGTATCGCTTTTCACTCATTAAAGCCTAGTTTTCATATTAGACATTAGATTTGGACTGACGAATGCAATTTATTTATTTATTATCATTATTTTAAACATTTTTTAATATTTTTAGATTTTATAGTATAACCTATATAAAAGACAGCAGCAATGTTTTTTTTTTTTTATTAACACTTGTTTTAGTCATATTCACAACGAGAAATAAACGATTCTCGTATTTTCTTTTAAGTCTAATTATTTTGGCTCTGATATTATTTATATAACAATGGCATTGTTGAGATTTAAATGATCAATTTCATTTTAGTTATTTTGTTTTTTTTTTTTTATCAAACAAACTTACAAGTTTTAAGTGGCCAATTTAATGTTCCCTTTAAATTTATAAATTGCATGATATATTTAATTATTTTTTTTTTTTTTTATTGTAAATGTTTAAGGGGGAACACCACTGTGACGATCGAAAAAAAAGAGGTGATTTTCGGGAATTTTTTTGACAGGGAAAATAAAGGAATTTGGGAATCGGGTTTTTTTTATTTTATTAAGGGTACATTAAAGATTATTACCCTAAATATTTTTTAATAAAAATTTAGGGTGATAATCTTTAATGTCCCCTAATAAAATGTAATTTGGGCGGGAAGAGAAAAAAAATTGTAGATGACGGGTGCTTTAGTTAATCATGTGTAAAATTAAGATTAAGAGTTTAGCTAATAATTATTTTTCTTTATTTACAATTGTAGATTTATATATATCTTTTAATTCTTTTTTATACATATATGTATAAATATATATTTATGAAACGTCTAATCCGATGGATGACTTAAAAACAACAAAGTTAATACATTGAATAAATAGACGTAATCATTACGCTTATTTTTGCCTTTTTCATTCCTTCTGATATGGGAATTACTAGATCAATTACTATTTCGTATTAATATACTGTCATTATAGATAGCAAGGACGAAAATCAGTTAACGCATTGCCATTATGAAAAAGAAAGAACAAATCTTTTTGTATATATAAATATTTTTTGTGCATTGCACGTTTTTACGGCTGTTGTGGATAAACCCAAGTAGTAGAGATTTATAGTTGAACTTTTTTTCAGAAATTAAATAACAATTATTAAGGGGGAACACCACTGTGACGATCGAAAAAAAAGAGGTGATTTTCGGGAATTTTTTTGACAGGGAAAATAAAGGAATTTGGGAATCGGGTTTTTTTTATTTTATTAAGGGTACATTAAAGATTATTACCCTAAATATTTTTTAATAAAAATTTAGGGTGATAATCTTTAATGTCCCCTAATAAAATAAAAAAAACCCCGATTCCCAAATTCCTTTATTTTCCCTGTCAAAAAAATTCCCGAAAATCACCTCTTTTTTTTCGATCGTCACAGTGGTGTTCCCCCTTAATAATTGTTATTTAATTTCTGAAAAAAAGTTCAACTATAAATCTCTACTACTTGGGTTTATCCACAACAGCCGTAAAAACGTGCAATGCACAAAAAATATTTATATATACAAAAAGATTTGTTCTTTCTTTTTCATAATGGCAATGCGTTAACTGATTTTCGTCCTTGCTATCTATAATGACAGTATATTAATACGAAATAGTAATTGATCTAGTAATTCCCATATCAGAAGGAATGAAAAAGGCAAAAATAAGCGTAATGATTACGTCTATTTATTCAATGTATTAACTTTGTTGTTTTTAAGTCATCCATCGGATTAGACGTTTCATAAATATATATTTATACATATATGTATAAAAAAGAATTAAAAGATATATATAAATCTACAATTGTAAATAAAGAAAAATAATTATTAGCTAAACTCTTAATCTTAATTTTACACATGATTAACTAAAGCACCCGTCATCTACAATTTTTTTTCTCTTCCCGCCCAAATTACAGCAACGATTCGACATGTCTAGCAAAAGAAAATTAAATTGGCCTCTCTAGCTCGATCGTTTGATGATATAATTAAAATAGCCATAATTATTATATATAATAAATATATATTTACCAATTATTACTCTTGCTTAAGTTACTTATATTTGTCTTCTTTTTTTTTTTTTTTCTTAATGATTCTCTCGATAAATATATCGAATTAACGAAGATTCTCGCGATATGACTTGTGAGTGCTTTGTCGTGCAAAGGCATCTTCAAACACTGCATTACTTTGACACACAATAGTTACGTTTTACGCGAAGTACATTACTCGTTTAGTATCTGCATGAACGGTTATAGCACGAGCCATCGCACCTGGTGTTCTGTCTTCACTGCAGCCAGATTGATGTGAGCCTTCTCCGCTGTAATTTAGATAATTATAAAACATTAGTCATTTTTTTTTTTTTTTTTTCATTATTTAAATTAAAATATAATTATATATGATATAAAATAAATCTAATAATAAAAATATACCTGTCATGTTCTTTTTCAACAAGATGATACCTAGCGCGGAACGCTACCAAGTGGGCATAATAAGCTGGGGCTGGTATACTAACAGACCTCGTACATCTGACATACGTGTGACACAATTGGTAAGTTAAGCATTGCAATTCATCACTCTCGAATTGATTGTCATCCCATAAGACATGGTAGTGGGAGGGTCTGGATGTACCCTGGATACCTTGATGACTGCAAAGATAGAAATCGAACTCTGTTGGATGTACAATGCTAACATCAACAGTGGTACCAGCAGGGATATTTCCACTTTTTCCGCTCTGTTCTTTTTTGTCCGCACAGAAAAGTCTTGTGTGATGTCTCTTTTGTACAACAATAAATGTAATACCAGGCCTGTACTCCAACTCGAGCTTTAAGCAAGCTTCACGGATAGCAGTGAGCTCGTGCTGCAGAACATGGAGGAATTGACCCTCAGACACACCATCACGGTAAAGGATAATTCTATGGGGTTTGTAGCCGCCTGTACTTTTGTAGAACATAATCAATAGCTCGCGGACCATTGAACTGAGCTCTTGGATTATTTCCTGTCTGTGCTGCTGAACTCTTACTGTCGCCGCGTAACGAGAGGGGTGAGCATCGACACTACCCACTACTGCAGCAATACTTGGTTTTTTATTGTCACCGGCCGGTGGATGAGTCACATCTGCGCCGAGGAATATTACAGGCTCGTTGAAAACTTTAGGTCTTATGCTTGGGACGAGGATACTGTTTATACCCCCGAGTTTTACGTTTATTTTCAAGCACAAGTTTGATAATGTTTGGGGTGATGTCTTATTTACATTCTTAGCCTGAACACATTGTGTTGCCATACCCAGTAATGTGTCACCGACTCTCTTTACTTCGGCTAAAAACAAAAAGTGTTATGATAATATTAATGAGGGATCACAATAATTATTATTGTAATAATAAAAATGGTAGAGAATAATTTTTATGTACCATAAACAGGTGTTTTGCCGGGTAGAACAACGCAGACAAGTTGTAAAGCCTGGAACGTCGATTTTAGATAACGGAACATGGGTTCAACCTGATCAGGTCCTGTTGCGTATTTGCAGAAACAAGGCTGTCCAATAATTGGCATACCAGCGTCGTTACTTATCTTCTGGAGCTGAGAAGTAAAGGATCTCAAGGCATCTTCTCTTACTGTTCGCTGTGGGGCGAAACAAGCTATAGCCCATACTCTTATTTCAACACCTGTGTAAAATTGTTTGCCTCGCATATCCCATACTCCGGCGTTCGGTAGTGCTTGTTGCTTTGTCTATAAAACAAATTTTTTTATTAACTCCTTAAGATAATTTATTTAATCCATAACAAGCACAGTTTTGTTTTTTTTTTTTATTCAATTTTTTTTTTTTTTATTCAAAACTTCAAAAAATAATTTTAAAATAAAAAAATCATTTTTTCTATTAATGATTATTTTTTTTATAAATTATTATGCCTTACCTGTCCACTGAGAGAACTCACGCGTCCTCCATACTGCAATTTAGGTGGTGGCAATACACGACCGCGAACTTCAACCATGTTATTAGAAATAGACAAACCAAACTCTTGAACATAAGAGTCATTATTAAAATCAGCACGACGAACCAAGTTGTTGATTTCGCGTTCACGATCTGGCGCAGAACGAGCTGTAGCTTTAATCATCGTTGATGTCTGCATGTCAGTTAATTTCTTGATACAACGTTGACCGGCAACAATATTACAGACCTATTAAAATTAATTAAAAAAAAATAAATTAATAAACTATAAACTAAAATTACTTCAGTGATAAATAAAATAATAAAATATACCTCAAGGGGTAAATAAGTGTGTTTGTGCTCTTGACCGACTTGAAGGCACGGTAGATGGGGGTATCGCAATTTCATTTTATATTTATCCAAAAAGTATTTAGCTACTGTACACTCAACCGTCTGTCCATTTTCCAGTTGCAACGGGAAGGACTGCATCTGTGCAGGTTTGCGAGTAACATTGCAAACACGATACTTTCGTCGCATAGTACCACAATGAGTGATTTCAATCTTGAGGCCTTTTATTTCTTTGGTAAATTTTACACGCTGGGAGTCAGTAAGCGGTTTTCTCTGCTCATTAACATCCCTGATGTCCAAGACCTCGCACATGAATTCAATAACCGGCTGAGCTTTGTAGAAAGCAGTTGCTGACACGTCAATATTGAGCATCATCTTCCACTGAGACGGTCTTACAGACTGGTGGAATCCAAACCAGACTTCCCGACCGCCTCCCAGGGGATGGTAGTAGCCGTCTGGAGTGCTGAAGAATGACCTGCCCACGGGTGTGTATGTCATCGAGGGTAAATGCCTCATGACAACATCCAAAGCAAGAATTGCGTCATACGGAATCTGCCTTGTTCGTCCCTCAAGTGCCTCTTCGAGAGCGTAGAGTGATACCTGGGCAAGCCATTTAATCGACACGCGGAACACCCGGTCTTTTCCTTCTCCGGGCAGTATTACTTCTAATTCTAATTTGTCATTGCCAATTGGCAGTGGGTCTCTGGTGTATAAATTATTTCTACCGTCAAACACAGGCTTCAGAGTTCCGAATATTTTGGAGTAGGCGTGGACCATAGTCTCAATTATCTCCCGGTTGACTTTTCGTGGACATTTATCCGGCTGAATGTTTATGTCGTAGTGGTGGACGTATCCCCGAGGCATACTTATTTGAAAGTGATTCGCCTTCAGGCCAATCGACCTTCCCTCCCGTCCGATATTTGGCCGACGAGGACATGAGAATACTTGAAAATAAATTTCATTGTTTATTTAGATATTTTATTATTATTTTTTAAGATGTAAAGATTTAAGAGGGAATATTCCCTCTTAAATCTTTACATCTTATGTTTATGTTGGATTTTAATAGTCATAATTATTATTATTATTTATTATTAGTGAGGGAATAATTATTGAGAATTGTTTTATAAGTACCTGGTAGATCTGGAGGCTGAGGAGGTGTGTGTGTCTGCTGGGAGGGAACGATTCCCAAGGAACTCGACGCAGCGACACTACTACTAGCAGCCCCTGCTGCGCCTACTGCTGTACTGGTTGTTGGCCCAGGTGGAGGAGCTGAAAATTTTATTATTTTGTTAGAAAATAATTTAAATTTAATTTTCAAAATTATAATATTAGGTTTTTTTAAATTTAATTACTAATTTTCCAAATTTTATTTTATTTTTTAAACATTTAATTATTTTTTATCTCGTGATTACTCCAAAAGTAGATAGATATTTATTTAGCATTGTACAACAGTAAGAACTGCTTTTTACAATTTTTTCATCGCAGTATTTTAAATTAATTCTGCATCTTAATAAATACTTAAAGCTCCGGTTCTAGCACCACGATTAAGGTAAAAGACCCAGTTATTAACACTTGCAATTTTATTTTAATTTAATAAACCAAATTAATTCTAATAAATTAATAAATATAATTTTTGAATTATAAATTTTAAGATAATTGATTTTTTGAGACTATTTAATATTTTTAATTAGAATAAAATTGCAAGTGTCAATAATTGGGTCTTTTACCTTACTCCAAAAGTATTTTACCAACCGCTTATTTCAAACAGAATTTATTAAAAATTATGACACTGAAGTTAGCAGACGTCTAATAATTTTTGATTTTTTTTATTAATTAAATTATAACTAAAAATATATTTCTAAAAAATTGCACTTATAGTGTTTCAAGTTTTTAACATGTGAAATTGTTTTTTTTAATTGTTTAATTGAAATTTTTTCAATAAAAAATTTTGAAATGGCTAACTTCATTTTCATTAAAAATTCTATTATTTTCCAGAAAATATATAATCCCCCCTATTGACAGATTTTCTAATGATAGCTGTCAAACCACTGTTTCTCTATCCCAATAATATACAAAAAAAAAAAAAATCAAGACAGATTAAAAACATATTGACCAAAGTAAAAAATATTTTAAACCCATTAGATTAATAATAAATAAAAAAATTTTCGACTGATTAAAATCAGTTATTGACGTATCATAATGACCACGTTTATCGGAAAATGTATAGTACAAACATCTAGACAGAAATACCGATAGGTACAGTGGTAGATTAGTCGCGTGTAACAAATTGAGAGATTAGTCAACTACAATGATTCAAATACATGTTTATTTCCCAATGAATAAATCTACCTTACTATATTATTAAATTGCAATAGTAAATGTATACTTCGCTCAAATATTGAGATATCTATGTTAATGAAAAATAAATATTAGTTCATATGCCTGTTGAGCGAGTTCAAATAAGGTCATTTCGATGGAAAATTCTAATTATCCAAAGACTCTAAGGTTGGCCCTATTTTCTTCATCACGCTCTTACATCAAAACTCATTCATACATATGTGTAATGTATACCTATGGATATATATATCTATATGTATGTATATGTAGTATGTGTATGTATTGGAAATACATTTCACATGTAAATATTACATCACAGCATTACAGCATACAAGTAATAAATAAATAAAAGCCCGCTACCTGAAAAAAAAAATACAATTAATGAGGGTAAATATATTAAAAGTACAACAAAGGGCTTAAAATCGTTGGAGCACATTTCTAGGCTCGCCTAGACAACTTTGTCCGTACACTTCCCCTACTTGCTATTGTTTTACTACAAAGACCTCGTGTGTTTTTGTGAGTTGTAATAATGTAATTATAATTAATTATTTGAAGACTTACGTTGGCCTACAGGATACATATTTAAGGTTTAATTACGATTTAATTACTAACAAATAAGTAAAAATTTTAACAGAAAAGCCCACTTGGTACAACACCACTAGCCCACAACACACACTACAACAGAACCATAGCTAAAGCTAAGAGCAGAAGGTTGTACCAACTACTAACAACCAACAATACAACACTAGCGCCATTTTCACTAAAAAAAAAAACCTCCTGGCTTACCAATCAGCCAATCGCGCTTAAACTTTCCGTCATTTAAAATTTCTATTGGTCAAATAACAACCAATAAAAATCATGACACTGAAGTTAGCAGACGTCTAAAAATTTTTAGAATTTTTTTTATTGAAAAAATTATTTTAAAAAAAATTAATTGAAAAAATTTCACATGTAGAAAGTTTGAAAAATTATACATGAAATTCAAGTTAGCAGTCAATTGATAATTTTTTAATTTTATTTAACAAAAAGAATTGTCGCAAAAAATTATTTTAAAAAAATTTCATTTTTTATTATTTGAAATTTCTACATGTCAATTTTTTTTTTCTAATTATTTTTGCCATAAATTTCTTGTTATAAAATTCATAAATATATTCTAAATTAATTTTCATAAATTATACGTGCAATTTTGTAAAAATGTTTTTTTTTTTGTTCTAATTTAATTGATAAAAAAAAAAATCTAAAATTGTTAAACGTCGGCTAATTTTAATGTCATTAAAAATTTTATTTATTAATTAAATTACAACTAAAAAGATATTTATAAAAAATTGCACTTATAGATTTCCAAGTTTTTTACATGTGATCATTTTTTTCTTAATTGTCTAATTGAAATTTTTTCAATAAAAAATTTCTAAAAATTTTGAAATGTCAGCTAACTTCATTTTCATTCCGCCAGCAGGTTCCCGCTTAAGAAATCACTTTTACCAACAACTGGCGCCACTGTTATTTCACAAACAATATATATTTTTTTTTAATAATAATAATAATAATAATGATAATGATAAAATAAAATATACCAGTAAAGTTGGTATCACTTGTTCCTACCTTCACTCTCTGTATCTCCAACTTTCATCATTATTATTTAATCTTAAAATAATATATTTTTAATATTATTATTACACTTGGACGATTAACAGCAAAACTTTTTGGCGATAATTATTTATCAAAATGTCGCTACCATTTACAGGACGTATTTCACGTTCTGGAGGATTGGTCGCAGCTATTTCCAATCAAGTTAAAAAGATGACTTTGAAGCCGACGAAAAAAATCACTGTGCAATTTGATCCGTTCCACGAGAAAGCCCGGCCGATCAGGTTAGTTTTATATATATATTGTTATTTTATTTATATTAACTTGTGAATTTACTTTAAACTATTTATATAAAATTATTATTTATTTTATTTTACTGAAACTAACTATCTCTAGATATATATACATATGTATATACCTATATATACTTATATTTATAGCTATCAGTTAATTGTTAATGATTGTTAAATGCTACCAACATCAGAGCTTGGAAGCTCAGAGTCTTTAAATACACAAAGTCGATAACGCGCGCACGCGCTTTTATTTTTATTAATAACAAATTTATCAGTACTAAGCTTTGCATTAGAAGCTCGAGTATTTTTAGAATAACTTTTGGAATATTACTATCTCTTTAATATTCATTGTGAAATTTAAAAGTATGTATTTTTTACTTTTATTAATTTAATTAATCTATCTATAAATAATCAGATAAAATTTTAAATTAATAAAATTGTATGGTGGAAAAAAGTAACTTGGATATGAAAAAACAAAAATTATTGATTAACTAATCTTCTCACCATACAAACGTAAAAAATATTAAATAGTGAATATTTACCACTGCATTGACCGCATCCATAGGCTTTTCCGAGCATAGTAACAGCAGTAGTTATTCGAAGTGTGCTCAAATCCGGCAAAGGAATGGGCAATTGTTGCTCCAATTGTGCTGCCATTTTGCCTGAAAATATTAATAATTTAATTATATTTTTGTTTAGGGAATTCCTGTTCAACATCTCGGCTGCTAAAGTCACCAAGACCAATTTGTCGTGCATCCTAAAGACCAACATCGTCTGTGACAGATCCGAGCCCACTGTCACGTGTGATCTGGGTGAGTTTTTATTTTTCATTTTTATTTTAAGGGGGAACACCACTGACGGTCGAAAAAAAGAGGTGATTTTCGGGAATTTTTTTGAGGCAAAATAAAAGAATTTTACGATCGGATTTTCTTTATTTTATTAAAGGTATATTAAAATGAAAATGAAGTTAGCTGACATTTCAAAATTTTTAGAAATTTTTTATTTAAAAAATTTCAATTAAAAAATTTAAAAAAAAAAATTTCACATGTAAAAAACTTGAAAAGCTATAAGTGCAATTTTTTAAAAATATCTTTTTAGTTGTAATTTAATTAATAAACAATTCAAAAATTTTTTGTCTGCTAACTTCAGTGTCATATATTAAAGGTTATTACCCTAAATTTTTATTAAAAAATATTTAATTATTACAAAGTTATTAACAATCTCTAAGAGCACTAGAAAAAATTTCCCCATCTGAAATAAAAACCCAAATTACTTTTTAATCAGTAAGGATGTAGTTATCGTCGCACGTGCGGAATTTTGTATTAAGGGTAAATTAAATATTATTACCCTAAATTTTTGTTAAAAAATATTTAATTATTTACAAAGTTATTAACAATCTCGTAGAGCACTAGAAAATTTCCCCCCTCCACGGTCGGTTCGATAACTCAAAAACAAATCATCTGAAATTAAAAACTCAAATTGCTTTTTAATCAGTAAGGATGTAGTTATCGTCGCACGTACGGAATTTTGAAAATTTTAATTTTTAAAAAGATGGCGACTGATTGAAAATTTTCTCACTATTCTTACTGTTTTTTTTTGTTTTAATCCGGCTAAAAAAAATCTTTAAAATAAAAATTTTTCAAATTCCGTACGTGCGACGATAACTACATCTTTACTGATTAAAAAGCAATTTGGGTTTTTATTTTCAGATGATTTGTTTTTGAGTTATCGAACCGACCGTGGAGGGGGGAAATTTTCTCCAGTGCTCTTAGAGATTGTTAATAACTTTGTAATAATTAAATATTTTTTAATAAAAATTTAGGGTAACAATCTTTAATGGACCCTTCATAAAATGAAAAAAACCGATCCCCAAATTCCTTTATTTTCCCTGTCAAAAAAATTCCCGAAAATCACCACTTTTTTTCGATCGTCACAGTGGTGTTCCCCCTTAAGAAAGGATTATTTTTCGGTGCTTGTTTTATTTATTTATTTTCGTTTTGGTTTGTTTATTAGCTAACGGCGAAAAGGTCCTGTTCAAGTGTGAAAATTTAGATACTTTGGATATATTAACACTGTACAACAAACACATAACATCGCTAGCACCTCCTGAGGTCGATACCGAGACTAAGAAAAGTTATAAAAGGGCGAAATCTAGTAAACGCAAGAAGATAAGAACAAGCCGTCACAGAAGATAAATTTTTACTATTATTATTACTATTATTGGTAGTTTGTTTAGTTTTTTTTTTTACATACGAGAAATTTTTTAGTTTAAAACTTTTGCAAAATGTCAGGCCGGGGAAGAAACAGAAAAAAAGAATATGGTCTCGAATTAATAGATACTGTATACGCTTATGTTCCAGCATTTACTGATGTATTTGATGAAGAAACTTGGTACATTTTTGTCAGTTGCTTTGTTGCCGGTACTCTGGTTGTCGTATTCATTCTCTCAAGATTTATTACTATCAAACCGGTTGATTAATAATAAAAATAAAACTAACAATAATATTAACAGTAATATTGAAGTAAAAATGAAAAGATTAAATGATTTATCTATGGAAGTTGTAAAGATTTATGAATAACAATTGTTTAAATATTACATCAGTGATTTTATTTAAACCCAAGATTTACTATCACGCAAATACGTCACGTAACGTGACGTTAAAGTTCCATTTCCGCTGAATAGAGTTCAAGCTGTAAAGAAGCTAAGCCGAGACCGAGCCCTGTGTGGCTGACGTGTTTCATTATTTTTTTATATTTTTTTAACTCGTTATTATTTTCATCCTGTTGGGCAGGTTCTTTGGTGGGAGAAGAAAGAAAGTCGAATGGAAGTAAAGGTAAAACCTTGGAAGAGTAGACAGAAGTACAACCAAGAGCGAGAATAATGAAACAACTTCTTCTACAGTATCAGATCATACACCAAAAATTAATTTTTGTTCAGCGTTTATTTTATTTCGACTACATGTCCAAAATATCTCGCTCTTTGTTCCTTCGACAGAACGTTTTTTAGCATATATCGGGTGTCATAATGCAACTTAAATTATTCCACCAGAACACCGTGTAGAAAAAATAAGAATTAAGCGAGAATATCTGTGCTTAGTTTGACAACTTGTTGCACATTTCACGGCTATATAAATTTTGTTATTTCTTCTGGAGCTTTAATTTATTATTAAATATTAATTTACTATGAATTATCAATTTATTATTATTAATAATTTTCTATTTTTTCCGGTGATTTCACTAATTAAAGAGTTCAATATTTCAAAGCCAACTTACCGACCCAAATTCATGTGAGACTAATTCAATTTTCATTAAATTTTTATTTATTAACTTTATTTTTACCATATTATTGTCGGTATGAGCGCTCAATACCATTCTCGGGTGAATATATCTAATAATTAAAAATTTTTTTTATTAGATATAAAAATATTAGATAGGCGCGCAGTAGCCTATCGGATCCGGCCCTTGCTACCAAAGCATTGGACCGGGCTCGAGTCCGGCGTACACCAATGAATATTTTCAATATTTAAGTGTATTATTCTGCTCAGCCCAAGAAATACAAACGAGTTCCAATCTCAAAAGTTTACCCCCTACCGTAGTCGCTCATGACCTTAGTAGTTTATGCGACTTTAAACAAATTAAAAAAAAAAAAAAAATATTAGATATAAAAAATTTTTAATTATTAGATACATTCACCCGAGGATAGTATTGAGCGCTCATACCGACAATAATGTGGTAAAAATAAAGTTAATAAATAAAAATTTAATGAAAATTGAATTAGTCTAACATCAATTTAGATCTGGAAGTTGGCTTTGAAATATTGAACTCTTTAATTATTAATAATAATTTATCAGAAAAAAATTTTAATTATCAAATAAAATAAAAGGTTTTTTTCTTTTCACGGCTCTATAAATTTTGTTATTTCTTCTGGAGCTTTAATTTATTATTAAATATTAATTTATTATTAATTATCGATTTATTATTATTAATAATAATTTACCAGAGAAAAATTTTAATTATCAAATAAAATAAAAGGTTTTTGTTTTTTTTTTTTTATTACCTTTGAAACCTTGAACTCAGCCGAGGTTTTGTCAGATAGTTTTGGGTATAAGTTGAACTTTAAAAGTCCTAGATGAATAAATAAAGTATATTTTCATCAGTGAGATCAGTAAAACGACAACCTCTGTCTACAGTTGTTACATCTTATGTGAATGTCGCTGGATCTGTTTTTGTCGTTGTTGAGAACCTCGGGCGACGCGTTCCTCTACTTCTGCAATAATCGGGAAACCACGGTTGACACTCTTACTCCAAGCTATCTATATATACATACATACATAAATACATTAAATAGTTAAGTATGTATAAGTTTAAACCCAGTCCATGTGTATTTAGTAATCTATATATATTTATATGTATGTTGGTAAATCCCACAGGGAAAATATTTAAAACGGACATGCGCGAGCCGGCCGAAAGCGTGGACGAGGATAGACCCGCATTACTATCCTTTTATTGTGTCGATAGGCTTTAAAAAATCCCCATTGCTCTTTATTAAAAATAACTATTGAGTTATTCATAAACACGTCATTTTATTTTATTATTTCTTCTTTATTTAAAATAAAACTTCGCTTTAATTTTTGTTGGGTATTTCTAACTGGTACTCACTTTTAATAAGCGATTTAATTAACGAAGATGATGATGATGATAATGACAGCGGTGATGTTAACTGTAACTATTAATAATTGTTCGTCTGTTAAAATAATAAACCAGTCGGAGAAATAATGCAAGAGAACCTCAACACCGCGAAAGTTGCGAGACGACTAAAACCGACTTACACAAGGACCCGCCAATATTGGAATACGCATTTCAAGGTCATCTCTATCAGCTTATTCAGACAGGTTTAATTACATGGCCCCTTACTTATTGCTTTTTAAAATAATCGCGTACCACAAGTAACTGTTATATCACTAGAGAATAAATTTAGCGAAATTTATTTTGCTATTCGGAGCAATAACTTCTTCAGAGAGACCTCTTGCTATTTCTTGACCCCTTGAACGTAAAAAAGGTATCTTACTAAATTTATTATTTTAAAAATTTTTTAAATAATTAATGACATTAAAGTTAGCAGTCACTTGATCATTTTTTAATTTTTTTTTAACGAAAAAATTTGTTTTAAAAAATTGCATTTTTAATTTTTTTAAGTTTCTATGTCAATTTTAAAAAATTTTTTTTTGCCATAATTTATTTGTTATAAAATTATTAAATATATAAAAATAAAGTTAGCCGACATCTAAAAATTTTTTTTTTTTAAAGAATTATTACAAAAAAATTTTTTTCATTCGTTAAAAACTTCAAAAACTATAAGTGGAATTTTTTAAAAAATATTTTTCATCTATAAATTAATAAATTAAATGAAACTTGATTTAGCATATATTTAATAATTTTAAAAAAAAATAAAAAATGCTATTTTTTAAAAATAATTTTTTGTAAAAAATCTATTTGTTACAAAAAAATTAATCAAGTGACTGCTAACTTTAATGTCATATAAATTAAGCAAAATAAAAAAATCAAAAATGTCGGCTAACTTTATTATTATTAAATTAATTTTCATAAAAATAATTACCACGTGTACTTACAGATTTTATTAATTTAAAAACCACCAATGAGATTATTTATCAAAATGACATTTTAATTATTTGATAAATAATAAAAACCTCGTGTCAAGGTTGCCATTTTACACAGAGAAGCTAACTAAATTTGTGTGCATAGTGATACGCGCTTTATTTAACTGTACACAACATAACACACTCAACGTTATTTTTATATATAAAATCTCCCTCTTTAGTCCTGTCTGATTTATCAGTTCCTCTTTATCGTAATTCATTGACGCATTGTATCCCAAAGAAGACAACCGTTGGCTGTCATAACAATGCTCATCAGAATAAATCCAACAGTTAAAACTATTAAAAAAAACTACAAATAATAATTATTAAATGTTTAATTTACCAATCAAACTATACTTGTGAAGAATAACACCTGATAAACGTCATTGCTCGTTCGACGGTCAACAATTAAAAATAAACACAATATAAATAAAAATAAAAAAAAAAAAAAAAAAAAAAACAAAGCACAGTTATTATTGTGTATGGAGTGTTCGACACGGCTGGTTGTCTTTACCGTGAAAGCAGTAGGAGAGAATGGAGAAGCAAACTCTTTACTTGCTCGAAACACAACATAACACAACACAAGACAACTCACGTATACGTCGTAACAATTTTTTAGCGGAATTCGCGAGTATTCATCGGTCACCACTTGCGAGGGAGTCCCCCACTACTTGTTCGATTCAAACGTCAATGCGCAGACGCCGATTTACAATGACGTCTTCGTCAAGGGCACTGACTCCTGGCCTCTATCTCCGACTAATCATTCCCTGTTCACTATCCACCATCCTCTTTTTGTCATAACTCATAACCATACTTTTACATTTCACCCATTGATAAGCTTAAATCAAGTTATCTTCATTTAATAATTAATAATAATAATAATAATAATAATAATAATAACGAAAATGAAGTTAGCTGACATTTCAAAATTTTTAAAAATTTTTTATTGAAAAAATTTCAATTAAAAAATTAAAAAAAAAATTTCACATGTAAAAAACTTTAAAAGCTATAAGTGCAATTTTTTAAAAATATCTTTTTAGTTGTAATTTAATTAATAAAAAAAATCAAAAATTTTTTGTCTGCTAACTTCAGTATGAAAATGAAGTTAGCTGACATTTTAAAATTTTTAGAAAATTTTTATTGAAAAAATTTCAATTAAAAAATTAAAAAAAAAAAATTTCACATGTAAAAAACTTTAAAAGCTATAAGTGCAATTTTTTAAAAATATATTTTTAGTTGTAATTTAATTAATAAAAAAAATCAAAAATTTTTTGTCAGCTAACTTCAGTATAATAATAATAATTAGAGTACGTGACAATTAAATCACTTATTTGTGTGTTAAATATTTAAAATAAATACTCAGATTTTATTCACGTTTTTAAATATTTTTTTTTGTTAATCCACCTACGCAAATCCGCCACTGCATGATATCATCCATCATTAGCCAATAAAATATTTCTGCGAATTAACTAACATCTGGTCGCACACTCACGCACATTCTACAATACAAGTAATTATTATTATTTTTATTACTGATGTTATTATTATTACTATTATTATTATGATTGATGTGCAATGACAAAATTAATTAATATTTATTTACTTAAGGTACAGGTTATTTAATTATGTAATGGAGGAGCAGACCAAGACACATAAAGCCGGAGATGTCGTGGAGCTGCCGATAATAACAACGACGAAACGCGTGTGGAGAATTATACACAGTAGATTCGCGGTAATACGGTATATCGATTATACTGCTCAGCCAATCCCGTGTTTGTGCGTCGTGAACAAACTCCAGTGATTGGCCACTGGGTTCCCGCGGTTTAGTTTGTTTTCTTGACGCGCATGCGCAGTATTTGAAAATTTTTACTTATCACTGTTACCAAGGTCACATATCTTCCCTGTGAAGTTGTGAAGATGAGTGTTTATTTGCGCTTATTTTTTTTGCTTCTTTTATTATTTTGTCTTGTACTTTTCTTCCAGAGATAACCGGGTATTTATCAAGCTGCAGTCGTTGAACCACCGGCCATTAAGATGCGCATGTCTAGTTCAAGGTCACCAATATCCTAGAAATTTCAAGTTCATGAGTGCATTAGCAAATCAATACCTTTGTTTACATCTTATGTTTACCTTTCACTTCCGCTCAATTTTCTGCTGCTTAAATCACGGAATTAAACAATTTATATTTATTACTGCTATTTTTTATTTTATATTTTTATATTAATTTAATTGCTTAATATCTATCAGCTTCCTGCTTATCATTATTATTTTCTAGTATCTCGTCCAGTTATCTAGTTATTGTAAAGAATTTCTTCAATTTATATCACTTTCATTGAGTGTCTTGATAATGTTTAAGATTAACTGTAACTGATTAATAATAATAATAATAATAATAATTATTATTATTATTATTGTTATTTTTAAAAAACTGAAGTTACAAAATGAAGATATGAAGAAATGTTAAAAAAATTTTTTTTAGATAATTTTTTTAAAATTGATAATTTACATAAAAAAAATTAATTAATTTAGTTTGAAAAAATTCTATAAATAAATAAAACAGGCGAATAATTATTCTTCATTTGATTAATCAATCTAAAAAACAAAAATAGATTACATTAAATTTTATTGTAAATGTTTTATTAATTATTAAACATGTTAATATATGAACCTGAAGTTCCAAACGTTGGATGCCAACGAATTTTCAATTTGCTTAAAATCAGAATAACATATTGCTAACAGCAAAATAAGATACCAGGAGTGTAAAAAATGAAATGCAAACTTCTTCTGGTTATGGGAGGCCAAGTGCCACCCTCACAAGTCAAAGCTTCAAATTAAGAGATCCAAAAAAATTACTGGGACGCTTTTGTTTACTCTAAAAAAATTCTGAAAAATCTACTACACTCATATGGACTTAGAAAAAAATCACAGTCAATCTTCGTACTCCGGAACCTATTGATTCCACCCTCGCACATTTTACAAAAAATAATTCTAAATACTCACTTTATTTTTGACTTCTTTCTCCAATAATATTTTTTTTAATCCCTACAAAAATAATATTAATCTAGTTTTATATTTTTAAAATTTAATTGAAGTATTTTTCGGTTCTTATAAATAAATAAAAATAATAATAATAATAAGCTTCAATTGATTTATATTTTTTATTATCATTTATTATTAATATCGACTTATGACATGAATTGAGGATTTATTGATGAAAATTCGATGAAAAGCGTACGAATATTAACATTCATCTATCAACCAATTTTTAGTTATAACTATACTGGTATTAATTTTAATAATATATTTGTTGGTGTATTGAAAAAGTGAAAATAAAAATTACAATATAATATATAAGTGTATCATTATAATAATAGTTGTAATATATAATAATAAAAACATATATGTTTATTATTATTATTATTATTATTATTTTTAATCCAAGGCCATTTCATCGTCTTTACTGTCGTCCTTCTTAGCGCTGGATGAATCATCCTTCTTAGTGGACTCATCTTCAGGATTCGAGGAAGCAACAGTGGTTGAAGAAGTCTGCTCTTGATCCTTCTTGGTCTCTGTCTCCAAGGCGGTGACAAATTCCTCGAGGTTCCCAGTAGCTGCGGCGTTGACGGTGTCTGGTCCAAGTCCGAATTGACGAACCATTGGAGCGCCCTGGCCCGACTGCAAAGCAGACCAGAACATTGATAGCGCCTGAGAGAACTGGGGGGACGACAACGTGGTACACAGATTGTCCCCGGATGGCAAGTGCTTGCTCATTGTTCGCTCCAGGCTTTCTGATGACGTTATCGCCGCCGGGATGGAATTTGTCAGCTCAGTCTCTACATCCGTCTGCCGAACAATAAGCTCTGCTGTAGCCGACCGCGAACAACAGATTATGCCAGCAGGACTACCGCCAGTCTTTTTTCCCCACAGTGCCTCTGACAGCCACGTTAAATTTATCATGCTGCCCACGAGTACGAATGATAGTCCCATAGGCATTATATTATAGTGTCTAGTTATCAAGATATTTTATCAAGTACTGCTGTCAGTTTGTTGCCGAAGGTAGTCCTTGTCTTTATAGATTATTTTATTTGTTTTATCGGCTATTATATTACTTTTGCGTTTAATTATTGTCTACTATAGTCTTGTTTGGTTTTTAGCTATTAAGTCGTGATAAAATTAATGAGTGATCATTCAGTCTCGTCAGTAACGTGCCTTTTTTTTATTTATTTATTTACTGATAGTTTCTATTAGATTGTTAACCACGCTAAAGGATACTGCGATTGTTAATCTTATCTAAGTATTCAAGGTTTTATAGAACGCGATTTTATTGACATTTTTTTAAACGCGGTATAATTTAAAGTTGGTCAACAAATTGGTCAGTTTAAAAATAATTATTTGTAATTTTAAATAAAAATTTTTTAATGCAAAATAATTTTTTCAAAATTAAAATTGTTATCATTTTTTTAAAAGAGTATTTTAAAACTTCAAAACAAATTTTTTTAATTGACTAATTTGTAATAATTACTTAAAAAAAAAAAATAATTTTTTCAAAATTAAAATTATCATTTTTTTTTAAAGAGTATTTTAAAACTTCAAAACAAATTTTTTTAATAGACCAACTTGTAATAATTACTTAAAAAAAAAAAAAATTTACCTGGTTGACTTGAGGTGATGGAAAATTCCACAAGTGTCTCTGGAGATCAAATAAGTGAGGGTCACTCATTAAAGTAGCAGGAGTTCTATCTAACAAATTGGTTGAGCTTGAAGACGCAGGTTTTGACCCTGAGGTTTTAGTGGTTCCAGAGCTCGACCTAGGTGTCTCGCTGGGTGTAACGGTAGTGGGAGCTGGAGTCTGAGCTGCTGGAGGCCTCGTAGCGCTGGTAGTAACAGGAGTTGAAGAGGTTGTAGTTCTTGAGCTGTGTGGCCGCTCCCTCATTGTTCCTAATAAATTACCTAGACCCATTTGCCCGACTCCGCCGAACAGCTGCATCAATTGTTGCTGAGACATGTTGTTCAGGAGGTTTTGCAAGTCTCCTTCAGGGTTAGTACCACCGCTGCGCTGAGATCCTGGGGTTGGTGGGTTATTTAGGACATCGTTTATTTTTTTACAGTGCTCTTCGTCTTTTTCTGTTTTTATATCCTGTTAATTAATAAGTTAATTTACATTTTGTAATATAAATATTTAAATTGATATATTATTAGTTATGACTATGACATACTTGGAGCCAGAAAAAGAATTTTTTGTTGGACAATTTAAATTTTAAAAGATAAACGCGCCCAGTTTTACAATCAGGCACATGTTTGAATTCACAGTCCTCCGGGAAAATAATTAAATCCTGAAAAATAAATTACAATAAATTATTGCGTCTAAAAAAAATGACACACAAAGAAACAAAAATTATAGGTTACATCTTCGATTACTCCGGAAGTTCTGTCTTTCCAGCATAAATGCATTAGAGAATCATCCGACTGATAAACGTAGAGAAGTCCTTTTCTCGTATCAGGGTACACTGTTTTTCCCTTTATCGTCATTTTTCCAGCTTTTAATTCGACTAGATTTTTACTTGCACCCCGGACGGTGTTATTGCTGAACAGAGCACCACTAGCCATCTTATTTTATTTTTTTATGTAATTATTATTCGATCTGTAAAATAATCAATATTACTATTTTTTTTCTAAGCATAATTGGTTTTAAAATAAAACAAATTTAATGTAATTATCGAAAGTAAATTGATATATGCTTACACTACGTCTGCTGTTGCTCCTGCCAATGACAATGCACAAATAACATGGCGGTCTATAATCTTTGTTTCGGCAAAAGATGTCACTAACGCCATCTGTGACATTTTATTATAACTTATAACTTGATAAGAAGACTCTTCAGATATTGTGTTTATTTTTTTTATCTACTAACTGTAAAGTAAACAAACGTCAAAAATTTTATTTTAAATATATTCTTTCTTATACTGTGTTTTTTTTTATATTTAATTCAATACTTTAATTATATTTTAGGTCATGGATCGTGATTTAAAAATTTTAATTAAATTACAATACTTTAGTTTTGTCAAACATTCAAAATCTTGACAGATGAAGAAAAAAATTTTAATTACATTATTAATGTTAGCAGTCACTTAACAATTTTTTAATATGAAAATTAATTTAGCAGATATTTAATAAATAATTTTAAGAATTTTTCTAATAAATAAATTATTACATAATAAAAAAAATTGACATTTAGAAAATTTAATAAATTAAAAATGCAATTTTTTAAAAATAATTTCTTGGAACAATTTTTTTTGTTAAATAAAATTAAAAAATGGTCAAGTGACAGCTAACTTTAATATCATTTTTTTAATTTTATTTATTAAAAAAATTAGTTCCAAAAAATTATTATCAAAAAATGACATTTTTAATTTCTTAAAATTTCTACATGTCTACTTTTTTTTTTTATAATTTTTTTTTGCCATAATTAATTTGTCAAAAGAATTATTAAAATGATCAAATATCTGCTAAATTAATTTTAATTCAGATTTAAAACTTGAAATTTTAATGAGAAAAATTTTGAGCCGAAGAAATCGACAATCGTTTTTAGATCTCGAAGAAAACAAAAATACACTTGAGTGACGTAATAAAATTTATAAATTAATTAGTAATCAATACAGATCCTCGTTACTGAGCTCCGGATATTTGCGGGCTGTAGATAAATTTACGCTTGCACTGGCGTTTATATTTTATTGGCGAACCCGATACTTTTTCACCTAAAGGTATATCGGCTATAAAAGGGCTCGGATATAAAAGCGGGTTATTGCTTCAATATGCAATAAAACCTGCATAATGCTTCATATGTGTTATGACCCTTATAATTCTATACAGAAGAACGTCTACACATATTGTGCAGGTACTTTGAATTCATATCATTCCATCTTTGTCTCGTATAGGTACGCTTGTGTTATCGCCTATAGATCCAAAATATTATTCATGCGTCTATCGAGCCTATCCTGACTAAGACTATTTCTATCCTGGTAAAAATTTTTAATCACATTTAAATATAATGGAGCGAGCGATTACGCGGTTTAAACATTATATGTAGTGTTTCGGATTTTCTTGCTAGATTCATAAACAATAAGAATTATTTAGCATCCGTTGAATATCTAATGGTAAATCGCCCGCTTTCTTGTATATTTTACTCTCAATTTAAAGCTTATGGCTAAATATGTATACGAGATATTCGAAATATATTATATAAATCTCTCATTCACTCCACCTACGGAAACAATAATAACCATAATTACCAGCATTATTATGTGAAATTATGAAGATTCATTTTATGTAGATGTGATGGCGATTCTGGGACTGCGCTTGAGTGATTTTGCGAGACAACACTCGCGTAGGCTGATACTATCTTGTCCCGTCAGCTTTGATGCTTTTGCAATTAATGGATGATGAATAAATCTATATTATTAAGAGAATAAGCGAAATTTTGTGGTCAGTGTATTTATATGATAAAATGGGTTTTTATGGTTAAATTTGGTATCGTTGGAAAAATCTTGACCTGGAATTGTGCCTTTTCATGGTTTCATATCATTCTTACCAATAGTCAATTTATGATGATATATATTTAGGTTGCATTTAAAAATGCTCTATCTCCAGATACATAATTAAGAAATGACCTTGTATCTTGTGAAATATTGACATTTTTAAAGATGTAAGCTCATCCCGATTTTACACTCATCGAGACCCTTCATTTGAGTACCCACATCAATTTTTCATATATTTTATATATTTACATATATTTATATATGAAAAATATATCAAAATGCATGTGGGTACTCAAATGAAAGCTCTTGATGATTGTAACATCATTATGAACTTATATCTTAAAACACGTTAATAGTTAAGAAAGTACAGTGGAAATTTAACAGAATTAAGAAATGACCTGGCATCTTGTGAAATATTGACATTTTTAAAGATATAAGCTCATCTTGATGTTACACTCATCAAGACCTTTCATTTAAGTACCCACATCAATTTTTCATATATTTATATATATTACATATATGTATATATGAAAAATATATCAAAAATGCATGTGGGTACTCAAATGAAAGCTCTTGATGAGTGTAACATCGGGATGAGCTTATATCTTTAAAAACGTCAATAGTTAAAAAAGTACAGTGCAATTTAACAAAAGTCATTATTTAATAAAGCAAAATTTTATTTATTTATATAGTTCACTAGTCACGGCAGTCACACAGTGACTGCAAGGTTGCTAGTAAATATAATTGAGCTTGATAAATGAAATCTGGATAAGTATCTAATCAGCATTCTCTTGTAAGTTGTACATGGAAGTGCTTTGTTTTTATCATTTCACTAGGTTTCCATCCATCCGACATAAAATTATCATTTCCTTTTGAATTTATTCATTCTCATTTCTGCTTCAGATGATTCATTACGTTTATTAATTGGATTACGCATCAATTTCTGTAAGAGGATTATTTTATTGATTAAGATAAGTCCAAGAGATATTACTAACGAAAATGTTGGATGACGGAAAAAATTGGTCTATGACAAATAAAAAGCTGTGGGAGGCTTTCCAATTGAAGCTGAGTGCTCCTGAATTGATATGAGAAGATGAAAAAATATATGGAGTTAGAACCCACCTCGTTTCGACACTCAATATGTTTTTCATGTAATATATATTTTATTTATCCATTGAATCAATGAACAACATAAAATATTATCAACCAGTTTGCGGTTAATATAATTTATTAGAATTATTTCAATGAATTAATTTAAAAGCTATAAAAAAATAAATCCAGCATTTGTATGTAGCTCTGTAATTTAAAATTAAATATTTAAAAAGCAATAAAGTTGCAGAGTAGAATTCTTATTGAGAATAATGCAGAAGCTGCTTAAAATCAAATCTTTTTTTTACCGCTTACGTTATCGTGGTTTTCAACACAAATACAAGCGGTAAGTACATACATTTATTCTGGTGCATTGTTATTCCAAGTACTTGACTTTTATTTTTACTTCTAAAGTTTTATACTTCAAAAGATAATATGGATACTATGTACCGACGTTTCTTGATAATTCAGTACTTTTTATAAAATTTATTTGTAATTTCAGTATCAGTGCCGTCCTCTTCTATTTCTTCTCCTTTATGAAAGATAAATTGAAATACTAAAATATTACGAATAAAAAATGCAGTCCTTTATTTAGCAGTTAATGTCAAAAGCTGAAGCTTCACTCTTCTTGACATAAAAGGGCGTAAAACCCGTACCAGCAGACGAGAGAAAGCTCCCGTTTAATTCAGATCCGTGACTGCTGGGAGGAAATCTAATCGATATAACAGAGCGTGAAATTTTGGGATTACGTTTCACAGTTCATACCACCAGTATCATCAGTTTGTCATTTATATTTTATCGTTTTAACATTTTGACATTTTAATAGGTTACATTGTTCCCATCATTCTATATTTATATTTTTATTTCGGAGAGAAGAAATATTGATGGATATTTAAATTCAAGCTTTTTTCTGATATTGAATAATTTAAATACTTTAATTTTATCTCTTGAAAAAATTATTGTAATATTTTTTTTTATTAATTATTTAACATAATTTTTTTAATTTAACTTAGTAAATTAAGCTCTTGATTTATTTAATACTTAAAAATAAAATATCATGCCATGGAAAAAAGTAAACTGTAATAAATAACAGTCGATTTATAATAAATAATGGTCAATTGCTAAAAATTACCATTTCAAACAGTAAAATCGTGATTTTACTATTCACTTTATAATATTTACCATTTAAACGTTAGAATTTACTCTTTACATGGAAGAAAATACTATTTCAAACAGTAATATTCGCTATATAAATGTCTAAAATGTTAAAGTATAATAATTAAGAATTCAGACTTTGATATTTATCATTTCGTACCTAAAAAATGATCTTATGATATGTAAAATATCGTTAGTAAATTTCTAATACAAGCAACGTCAATATTTACAAAGTAAAATGGTAAATTTTAAACACAACGCTAAAAATCAAACTGTAATTATCGACTTGCTTGGACTGGTAAAATGTATATTTTAAAAGTATAATTTTACTGTTTCAAATGTTAAATTCTCCCAGAATGAGACACCCTTCTCTTTCATCTGAGTTCCCCTTCTCCTCATAATATCGACTATATATTGAAATGGCAATTTTCACTATTTGAAGCTGTAATTTTTTAAGATGAAA